GCGACATTGACAACTCAATTATGCTTGTCACTTGTGTGTATGTGCATGATGTTTATGACATACGACGTCAACTTCCCGCTAGGCAGGAACAGCAGCATGGACGGGGTCCGAAGCAGTATGTGCTTCCTTTTTCAAATTTTTGCGCATTATGTCTGCCACCTCTGGTCTGGTAGGTAATCAGATAGCTTATTCTTCCGCTGTGGCTCGTATACTCCACTTTATTCTACCTCTTTCACGTGCAAAACGGGGACCGTAGGGGAAAGCTTTTGTTACTGTGAACAAGCAGAAACTTCAGCGAGCTTTAGAGAATCTAACTACGAAAAGAAATAATCACACATCGTATCTACGGTTTAATTATGGTAGTCGTACGTTTTGAACGTTAACATTTAATCGACAAAGCTTGAGATCAGTGGAGGCCTTTTCGCACTGATGGACAAATTGGTGACGTGCAAAGCTAGAAAAATGAGTGGAAATGAATGAGTTACTGAACCATTGACGGTAGCCAGTTCTGGACCGATGACGCTTATGGAGGCATGAAGCATTTATGAGAATAAGCCGCACACGTTGTTTCTCGTTCGGTTACTGCATAGGGACGGACATTTTCGCCGCTTACTCTGTCGAAGCCTTTTCCCCAAAATAGGGGATGCGTGCGAGGCAAATGCACCCATCCAACAGCAGCTTATATTACTAATTTTTATATATCTTCGAAGGTTTACCGCATATGCTTGTTAGTACGCTGTCGCTCAATGACTGCCAAGCGGAATTTATTATCAGTAGCTCAATTAGAACTTGAGCCGTAGTTTACTGCCTTCGAAAAAGCTTTGGATTTTTTCGTTAACTCTCCTAGGCAGAATAACGCTAGAAGCAGTACAACGTTTCCGCAAACTTTTACAATCATGTGAGAGTAATTTTATAAAAAATATATATAAAATAATAAGAAAAATACATATACAAAACGTATAGCTAAATAATATGTTGATATTTCATTGTATTTACATTTATTTATGGACGTTGTGTTAGAATCTAGGCTACATAATACTGTCAGTAATCTTGTATTCTGTCATACAGAACAAATCAAAGTGGCTTTCGTTTTATTACAACTAAGGCTTAGTCTTTAGAGTGCTTAGAGCAGGCTGCAACAGACAAAACGAAAGATGTACCTTCCCAGGCTGATGTTGTAGAGGGATTTGTTTTATGCCTTTTTGAAACTAGAAACAGATGCTAAACGGCGAAAGCACTCAGGCAGAGTAAAAAAAACTGTATCTTAAGGCCGATCAAGGAAATTCTATTTTCGACATAGCGGTTGGACGCTGCTTTTCGCTCATAAAAGCAGCTAAATCGCCATTTTACTTCGACTTTTGACGAATCGCATTGATATTATAAGCGAAGCACTGGCCCCTACCACGTACGGAGTCGTCAGCTTTTCCCTATATCTATTGCATTTTGGAGGTTTTCGAATACTCATGCGCATGCTTTTTGTATCGGGATTTTCGAAAGCTTCGAAATAATTGGGACAAGTGGTGTTATAGAGGTACTTTCTGGTTAGTATTCCCGACAAATTGTAAATTTTCATAGATTCAGCTCATGTACACAAACGATACGATACGGTACGGCTTCTGCATACGTTTTTACCTCATATTTGACGATAGAATGCACCCAACCCTTTCGCTCATTTCTGTTTTGAAGTACATAAAGTTGCATACGCATAACTACAGAGATATCTCAAATTGACGGCGATATAGGGGTAATAACAAGCGAACTTTTTTTCCGATGACTCTGTCCCAATTCTGAGTATTGGGCTTCACTGGAAGTATGCACACATCCATATCTGATAGGGAAAATATAGCCAACGTTTAAGCTTTGTTTGATCCGACGACGTGTGCGACCGTACGGTGGAATGCATAGAGACAGGTACGGCTATAATTTACCAGTAAATATTCAGATATGTCGAGTTAGGCCGACAGGCAAGAAACGAAGGAGATAAAAATAATGCGTTTTAGAATTCAATATAGTTACTTTCTTATATAATATAATCTAGCTTCATCAGCTGCTGCTACTGCAACAATTCTTACAGTACGAGTGCTACTAGCAGCAGTAGCCCATAGGAACGGCGGACGTGCGACGAAAAAAGATCGGTAGTTCCTCTATTATCAACGCGTCATTTGTGGGAGATAGGCTATACGTGAGTAGCGTCATACTTGTCCTTTACCGTATCTATCACAATCGTACGTGTAAACTAAAATATAAAATTAATTGGTAAAGCCACAGGTAATATATCACGTTATAATAAGAACCGATATAGGTAACCAACTGAAAATATCTGGCGAGAAAATTCGGCTACATTTAGGTAGTTAGGGCTGATTTCAAAGTAAGAACAATAATAGAGGGACAATCAAGAAAAAACGATGTTCAAGGCTGGAAGAAACCTATTTGTATTTTAACGAATAACTCAAGATTAAATAGGAGAACCCTCCTGATGCCACGTTTTAGTACAGTTTATCCAACTCTTTTGGCGGACAGAGTTATCGGCATAGGTCCCAATGTTTCCTCACATTGAAACCGAGATATTCCCAACCTATGTAATGTAAGCTATACAGACGATTTTTTTCCTGTTTCAAGGATTGTGTGACTAAACAATAATTAGCCATAGAAGACCGAATAAAATCTGTGTGGGGTTAGTACGAGGTTATACGACTGCGTTACGAAATGCTGTGTTTTTTTCACGATATCTCAACTCCAGCAGCGTTGCAGAAGCAAAAAAATTAATCTTGACGATGATGACCTTCAACTGTATAACTAGTACGCCAACTTTTTATGTACAGTTATAGGCGAAGCTGTCTTGTAACCAATACAGACGATGTTTTTAGTACTGCAGGGGCATTTTTGGAAATCATTCGGTCCATGGAATCATTTGGAAGTCTAAGAACTAGATTTCTTCTAATGCAGGGGGGGGGGGGGCTTGAAGTAAGGTGCTAGATACGTAAAGTAGAGCGATCCTGGACAATTGGCGGATTTTATATATCAAATAATTTTCAGTATTAACTGTTGAACATTTCAGTCGAAACAGTTGTACCTACTAAATGCGTCAATAACTTTTCTTATAAAAGGGACCGAATATAACTTTTTTCACCTATAATAACAAATCGGTGTTTATCATTACCAAAACAGCCGCTTAATACTCTTGTCTGTCTAACTTGATTCTAGCGTTAAGTGGGCCTGAGAACATGTGCTTTCAAAGGATTTTTACAAGATAAGTACTCAAATGTTGAAAATTTTTGAGCTTTGTGAAATATCTTGCACAGCTATAACGTCAAGTGACATTTTCCGTGTATTAATTTTTCCTACACTAACCTAGCATCCCCCTGAATCGCTCTACTTGTTGCTTCACTTATTTGTGATAAATTTATTACTGTGTTGTAAGTTTGAAGTTAAGATTTCGACGGGAAAACTGCCCCTTAGGAACAGTATCAATGAAGCCAGCACACAAAAATTATCAACGACTATCAGCGAAGGCCATGTTGACGGAATCTGCAGGGCGACTTTGCCCGAAAAATGTTAGAAAATATATTCCTTTTTGTGTGCTTCGTATAAAATCAGAATATAAATACAGTATAATGGAAATTTTTAAAATACAGTTGTTTATAGTATGAAGTTACTTAACTTGCTAGGGTGGCAATATTCAACTTTTACGACGTGATTACAGCCTTCGATATCGAATGAATAGACAGCACTTGGTGGCCGACTGAGGTTCTTGAATGGTTGTAGATTTCTGAGTCTCTAAGATCCGAGGTGTTTAATGTCAACCTATCTTACTAACATATTAACCAGGTAACTTGTTTATCGCTAAGTCGGTATCGGTAAGTTTATCGCAGAAACCACAGTAGACAGTTCACCGCTGACCACAGAGTCTTACACAGCCTGTGGTAAATGGACGTTGACGTATAGTTTCGATTGCCCGCACCGCCCGTCGCAGCGCATCGGCTTGAAAATCTCAGTGATTACGTCTGCAAACCTAGCAAGCGTCGAAACATTACAAAAGAGTACTATTGCTATTGTTGCCGGCCATTTTGAGTGTCGAAGTTGGCGTTTTTGCAGTCATTAAGTTACTGACTAACAATTCACTAAGACAGGAAGCGATGTTTAATAGACGACAACCAGAGCTGGTTAGTTTTTTTTTGGTCCTTCTTTTTTTGTTTATTTTGTCAACTGCGTCGGTACAGAATGTGAATTAGCTCTCACGCTTCAAAGCCAAGTAAACTTGTTGAGTTGAACGCGTTCTGTCAAAAAAAAGAGCTCAGTTAATATGTAAGATCTACAGCATTAGTAAAGAAGACTTTTTACAAAAAATAGCCAAGATGGTGTTTTTTTAACCATATGATTTTTTTTTGAGTGAATTCTTCGTATATATTCTAAGTCAACTTTAAGTCGTATTTGTCCTCGGCCACTATTAGCATAACCACTGCTAATTAATGTTGAGCTTCTAAATAAACTGAAATTGAAGTTTCTACACTGAGCTAATTATGAAACTATAGAAATACAAAAACGAATCAACGACTGTGTAGAAGTGTGGTTATTTGTCTCGAACAAACTAAGACGAGTGTTTAATTAGTTTAACTTTTAAAGAAGTGTTTCCGTGTTGGTGCAATGGTAACGTGTTTGCCTACTAAACCTGAAAGCACGTGAAAAGGTTAAGTTCGAAACCTGGCCTAGGCACACTTCGTTTCGTTCTAGGCGGCGCCAGATGCCTGAGGCAATCCCTAACGGCAGTGCGGAACGTAAAACTTGCAACGTTCATCAGCTTTTAGCGAGATGATATTTCCCAATGGCAGCGCGGGCGTAGTGTTAGTGCAATAAGGCTTAAGTAAGAATCACATGACCGCATCAATTTCAACACGATCTGTTTAACTATAATTCAGACTTTATAATAACTATTTTCTCTCTCCCTCCCTCTCCCACCCTCTCTCGCTCTCTCTCTCTCTCTCTCTCTCTATATATATATATATATATATATAGAGGTATTTTTCAGAAAACTGATGTTATATACGTAGTATATAACGTCAGTCTTCTGAACATAATAGACTCTACTTTAATGAAGTTTATATGAATTTTTTTCTAGCTGTTAACGCACCGTAATGTATACTTAGCATTAGGCTCTAACAATGTAGTTATTGTAGTTACTATATTTAGTACATACGGTGGGGCGGGGTGGCGCCGAGCAGCTCTTCTTCTACATATTAGAAAAACGAAACTGGTGGTGATTTTAACACCAGGAGCATCTTTAACGTGCGAATGCTACCTAATACTTGCAAACCTACAGGGGTTCTTCAAGTGACGTGTTAGTCCTCATTGCCTGTGATGTCCGCTCGCTCTTGCCGATTTTTTTGTCGAACTCAAATTCACAAGCTGCCATCATATAATACTTCGTTTGGTCTTTTGGCCATTATATAATTTTAGTAAACTTACTCAGTAGTCGTTTGCTCATGGTTGTGGTACGTGGTGCTGCTAGGGAGCCTGTTAATTTTTTTCATTCTTCAATTTTCATAATGTACTTCAAAGTTCCAGGTAATAAATAATGTCATCTGATATCGAATAGTTTACTATTTACAAGTTACTATAAAAGAATCTGACGCTTGTCTTTTTTTAAGTTGTGGGAGTGTTAAAACTTTTATGTAGCGGATACAACGAAGAAAGCCGATCGATCCTATCGTATGTGCTATACAATAATGGGTCTTTTCGCTCGTTCAAATCGCGATTTACTAAGCAATCAATCATCCGTTACACTACGTAGAGCTCAGCATTCTCGAACAGTCTGAAGCCCATACAATAATAACATGCTGCGGGTATATTTGAAACATTCGTTCAATATAAACTACAAGTTTCTCCCAAAGGCTCCGTCTTGCAGATACATTATAGAGCTAACCTGCCATTACCGGCCGTCCAGAGTGCAAGCGAACATCTCGTCCTTCCACCTTGCCTATGAAGCGAAAAACTCTCGATGTACTGAAACGTTATCGTCAAACAATTAGAACAAATTGAATAGGTAAGTCTGCAAAAAGCATATTGTTAAACGTTACATGTAAGAAACATCAGCAGAACCGTGGAACCGCCAAAGAAATCTATTGCCTCCGATCGACGCGTCATCTCGACTAGTAGCTCACTGGCACACAGGATCCAATGGCGTTTAAATTCAAAGTGTGGATTGTAGTAATTTTTTTGATATTGGTGTTATTGATTACTGTTCAAACGAACCAGCCAAATGGAGAAGTGTTAACGGACGCAGATCCCATTGAATTAAGTCAATGCCGAGCTATCAACAAAGGCAAGTGGTGCACTTGCAGAAAATTGCAGAACTTCGTCAAGACTAAATTCGGCAAAGAACTTGGCCTCTTCATTCCAGCGGTAAGTGTGATCGTATGCATAGGGTATGGCAATTGTCAGCTCTACGAATATGCGCGCAATACAGTTACCTGCGGACGCGTATTGCTCATTGACAAAAGGATAATCACTTTTAACTATAGCCCACAATACGACCAAGTAAAACGGGTTATATAGTATATACAGGCAGGCTGAGTAGCGTTTTCATGTCCATTACTAAAGATATATAAGTAAGAGTTGTCGCCCAGAATATATTAGGGTAAAATATCTCAACTTAGAGATTGCTGGCCCATGGAGGTGGGATAGCTCTGCAATTGCCAACTGAAGATTACGCTAGAAATATATTGTCTACTTTACCTAAACATTGTCGATTACCTACTGATTTTTAGTGTGGTCGCTGGAAGCCTAAACTGTATATGTTGAAGCAGTGCGACGGATTAAAGTGTTGGTGCGTGCATCCCAAAACTGGACGAATGAAAAACGGAACCCATCGGACAGGTGGTGAGGTTCGTAGTCTTGAATGCAAACTGAAGTAACGCTACCTGTACTCGCACTACAGGACCGCTATCTAGAACAGAACTGGATAACGCATGGTACACAAGCAGTATCCGGGATCAGTTCCTCTGGTATATCTATCCGTACGCCTCCTCAACACCGAATTACCACATGGGGCACAATGTGACAGTCAAGTAATATGTAGAAGCATATATCCAAAGGGAGAATACGTATTCCGTTCAACGTATTGCACAGTCGAGTTACTATAAAACACGCAGCCATAGAAAGTTGCTCAGTAAAATAAATCCAATATCATATAATTTACAATTTCTTGTTACGTGTTCATTTTGGGCAACAACAAATAATATCCTAAAAAAAATAAAATTTCAATTCAATTTATACGCTGCGCACTGGGTTTTGCGCGTGGCACGCTTGAGCTGTAATATTCCAGCTGGATTTTCAGCTAACCTGTTGAAACTTATCAAGGTGACACTGCAGCCTAATTATCTTAATTACAAATTGGAATAATTCAACGGAATAATAATACTACTACTACTATAAATAATAACAGTAATAGTCATTTGGATACCAATAATATAGGTAACCGAGGGCAATTTAGCACACATTTTCGATCTATATGGTGCGACTCTTATGGCTTTGATCAGGCAAGTAAAGCGTCATAGCTGAGCTAGAACCAAATAGAATTATAAAGAGGATCGCAGCTTAGCGTGGACTGTGACCCAATAAAGATGGGTGGCAAGGGAACGGGCACATCTAGCGCTCTGGCGGTATGATGGTTTCTCCTTATTGAAATCTCTCCTTTCGTTTGCCTTCGTTATTGTACCTTGCACGCTTTACTTAGCTCATTTGAGAAGAATATAAAACTGAAACAGCCTCTATAAAAATAATAAAATTGTTCTAAATTTATCAATCATGATATTCCTCTTCTTTCTCTCACTTGCTATATAGTACATCCACAAATTCAATAGCATCGTCTATCTAGAGTCAACGGTCGTAACTGCCACCACTTCACTATCATGACAATGGTTCGCAGGGACCAGGCGCGTGGTTGCCCTGCTCACGTGCGCTTCTACGAAACGGCATCCCTAAATATCACGATAACATATTAGATTCTGTATGCTGTGTATTACAGCGTTATTTCGGTTAGTTAGGGTAAGTTCTTCCAACTTCCGAGGAGAACGGACGCAGCGTATTTGCTAAGTTGGACATAGTTATGGTTTACCGTTAGCAACTGAAACACGACGAGATGCCGGTCCGTAACTTCGTTTATGCGAATTGACTCTTCTATACTATCCAAATCGAATAGAGAAATACTGCGTTCAGGAGCAGCGCGTCTAGATCCGTGTGTGCAACATGGCCAACGATATAAACAAGCACTTCGATGCGGACAAACATAGGATAGAAGTTTCTACGAAAGTAGTTGGGAAGCAGCTAACAATTGCATGTAGACTAGCGCTACTCTAGCTCACTGGCTCGTAATTCATAGCTGCTACGCTCGACAACGTTCCTAGAGAGGAGCTACCGAAAGAGCAGGGATTTCTGCTGCGTTTTCTGAAGGGGATTTTTCCAGCCTTTACGCTCTCGCTAAAAATCTGTTGCGCCTGTATCACCAGGGATTTTCGTACAAACCCCCTATCCCAGCAACTATTCAGTGGAACTGGCCGCTGTTGCACATGATATAAATCAGCCAGCAGTTCATGTATCGATTGGAACAATTTACGTAACCATTATGCTACATCGGCCTAGACGACTGTCAACTAATTCTGTCACTCTTCTATCTGACATATGCAGTATTTTATGATTCGTGTATCATATGTGGAGATATTCCATTTTTAAAACCTCGAAAGGTGACAAGTGAGCCAAATTATGAAATAGTGACCGACTTTAGTATAGGCAAGAATGTTTTCTATAATATTATGTGCTGGTACGAGGATGACCAATTGAATAAACTTATCAACGTTAAGTTACTTTCTTGCGCCTAATACAATGTTCAGTGGACAGGTTCTGGCCACCCTATGATGCTTGAGCTTAAAAGCCGGTATTTATATTTACCTTTCTCTTTTTACAAGTAATGCAATATGATTAGAATGGACAACAATCAATAGTAGATTATTTTGGCTGAATTTTAATCTCCTGCTCTTACATGGTATATTGAAAATAATCTCTATATATTTAAAATAAAATAGTAAAACTTTCACGGAAGAGCATTTTCCAACTTGATGATATGAAACATAAATTCTGTGTTGGGTGAAGGAGAAACCTCAAGCTACGTTACTTCGAGGACTCGTCAGCGTCAAATTTGCGGATCAGCTTCGTTTATTGAATAGCTACTATTCGTTCTGTAGTTTGGATCACCAACGGCGCGAAACGAGCGGGAAAGCTCGTTTTAAGTCCTAAGACTTCCGTATCGTTTCTTTTTGTCAATGCGCCAAAAAGTCGCGTATGTCACTCACGCAGGGGAGACATGCTGGGCACATCTCATTATATTGAGACATCGAAAGTGGAAAGTTCCACATATACGGTGTACACATATACATGAAACTACGTCGGAGCAAAAAAAAATTCTTTTTTTTCCAAAACAAAAAGAGCTTTTTAAGCAAAACAAAAGATAAGTCAATATTATGAAAGAAATAGTATGGTGCACAGGCTTTTACACAAGTAGCATTTGTGTCTGAAGTTCTATACCGTTCAACGAATCTGTATAGGAAAAACCTTCCCGTTTCTAATCATCACCTAGGGGCTGGTTCTAGTAAAAGTCCGTCTATATTGTCTAACATGTTTCTTCATTAAAGCCTAAAGGAAAGCAAACACCCTTTTCCGTTGTCAATGCTAGTCCAAAGGCCTTGTTCTTACAACAACTTACACTATAAGCTACAGTTTCATTATAGTTGCGTTTGATTCATGACAAACACGCAGCTTTTGGCAGTCTAGGTGACCAAATTAACGCGTATCCATGCAGGCCTTAGGTCAGTACTATACACTGATTCATTGAAAGGGTGAGTTTGCTGACACGCCACATGTCTAAAGCTTAGAACGGGTCCACTTCAGACACTGTTCCAGGCATTTCAATGAGGCAGCTATTGGGTTGGTTTCTTCAGCTGGCAAATTCCAAATTTAGTTCAAATTTGTCTATTTACAGCTCGAGCCTTACCGAACAAGTCGTTCGAGCATCAGACGCTGGGTAGAAACGCTGACGTAATGGTTGCTTTCACCTTCGGCCACCGCCTACGGCGATCCTAATTAGGCCACACGAGGCTACTTACGTGTAGATAGACTAGCGATGACATCAATTTTTCGTATGCATTTTGAGAAGCTTTAAGGAAACAGCACGAAGGTATAGTTTATCGTTGTAGTGAGGTGTTATTGACCGTTCAAGTCGTTTGTCTCTGTGGCCATTGCTTGTTAGTAACTGACTTGAGATGTTTACATCACAGGACCCTAAATGGTTTTGTATGCTATACCTCTTCCCCGGCTTACCCAATAACTATCAGTAATGCGTATTCACCTATTTTGTTCATTAAGCCAATTTCTATTGCACCTTTGTATATTGTTCTATTTCTCAAATTTTTCGTATCCTGCCCGCCAAGTGTTTTACGCCACCGGAAAGCTCTTTTTCTGCTCTTCGAAACTAATACACGGTTCGTCTAGTTTGGGTAGCAAAGTTTCATCTTGGATTTGTATTGTGAAGTGGCGCATATCGCATGAAAAAAGAAGTAACGAAGCAATTTTACTTGAGTTTTTATAACTTATATTGTTAGTTATTGAATTTTCCTCGTACACGCCATTCCTACCCCTGGTGACTTTTCGATTTACGCTGGAGATGAATAATATTCCCTTGAAGGATTTTTCCAACACGATTGAGTGTTCGATCATTAGCAAATGAACATGTTTTCAAATACGAAATATAACGAGTGTCAAATGGTGGCACAGAGAGCACCAGTGGGTTTATTACTAATACCCATCAGTGCCGATTCAAAATGGGCTGCTTAGGAAAAGGTCATCGAATGCTTTTTCACGCACTACTTTTATTATCAGGATTAGCATAACGTACTCCAGTAATAAGATCGTCTCGTATGGATATCGTAGCAGCCAAAGCTACGGAGACCGCCGCTGATTTGTAATACTACTGAGAGCGAATGTACAACTTGTTAAATTGGGGAATAACAGAAGAATTTCTATCGTCTGGGCAGCATTACAATGCAATCGAACGTTTTTTACACGTTTCACGCGAAGCTTTTTACAGGCTGCAATTCATTATGGGTCTTGTTAGCCACACTAGCAGATTGTGGCAAGCGTGACTGAGCTAGATGTAGAACGTGAAACCGCAGCAAATATCAAACGGTGTTTTTTTTTTGTAAAACGGGACTGATAGTACACAAAACTAGAAATCTGTGTAATGACTCAGATGTATTAATTTATAATACCAATGCCTAGAAGTCTGCCTCAGGTTTCAATTACCGTTGCCATTGCTTGCTGGATGAAGGCAAATATGAGCGTAGATCTGTTCGAAACGTAGGTGAACATCATATACAAAGTGAGCAATGGAATCCGTAAAATAGCTTAATCAGCCAGTGTTTGTAATGGACTAAATAAAGGGAGGTCAAGAATAGGGACATGACTATTTTCGACAACCACCCTTCATTCAGAAACACATATAGGTCGCGATATGTACTGTTGTAACATCAAGTCACAACTAGAAGGTTCGATAAGATGAAAGAAGTGAGGCAAAGTTCAAGGGACACGTATACAGATTGGACAGGTACGAGGCGCAGCGCAGGCCTGCGGCAATTACCTTCAAAGAAATTTCAGAACCGGAAGCTGTGAGGCATTCGAACTCAATGTCGGTAAAGAAATACTGATGGAATGTTTAAAGTAAAAAATTAATCAACGGTGTTGGTTGTTATTATTATTTCAGATCAAAATAAGCAAGCCAACAAGATAAGGCGGCTGCATTAAGAGAAATAGAACAAAAATGTGTTATAAGATGTTCCTAGAAGTGCACAGAGGTCGGCCTGAATAATTTCGAAACGAGACCATATATACAAAAAAATCTGTGTGCAGTAATGTTGTGCCGTCCTATCGACTAGCTGAATCATACGTTCATACACGTAGAGTCAGTTAGAAGAAAAAGAAGAAGAAACTAAAAGTCACCATTAATGTTAGTCTACATTGAACAAAACAGTGCGACGTTAGCTAACAGACAAAAGTTAAGAAACAACCGTAGCAAAGTAAGCAGAAAAAGCAGTTAAAATTAGTAATTACCTACGATCCGAAAACAGCTAGTTGTTATAAATGTGATAGATCATCGATTACAAAGATTCTAGTCCATAGCACAAGTGATATCGTTAAGCGGGAACAGCTTCAAACGAAGTGCATTTTTGAAGACCACAGACAGAATAAATTCATTTGTGCTAAAAACAGTGCGCTTCTTTCTATTGGCCCACATCTCATGCGCCCAGGCACGTTTATTGTTTATGATTTATAAACATCTAGGGCATTTCGTCTCTACTAAGACATATTGAGTGGGCGGAGCGCAACTTTTTATTAGAACTAATTCCAGTAAGCAAGTACAGAGAACTGTTCATACAACCTGAAGCTATAATTTATTTTTAGAAAATGACGTTGAGAACAAAAGACCAGTTTTTCGGGTATACCTCTTAACCTATTATATCTAGAGAAAGTAAAGTCGTAGTGCAACGAGCCCTCGATGATTTTCCTTTTGCTCGCTAAATGTAATGTTGTCTAAGTAGGCAGTGGTGTGGTGATGTTTGACACTGCTAGTCGTTAGGCTACATGATGTAGTTTTGACGCATGTAACGATAGTTGCAATACGTTTTGACGTACGTGAATAAGAAGCAACGGCAATGAGCGCTATTTTCGAAATTATGAAGTGTGACCTGTCGGCTGTTTTCACCCATGGCGGGATCTCAGCGGATTCCCTCTTTCGCGTGTCGGTCGCACTCCCATCCGTGCCTCCTTGAATACTGCGCTATTTTTTCATCCTGTGCAACGGGCCAAAGAGCTCATACAAATAGACAGCAACAAAAATAAATGTGGGTAATGATACTGTAGCTAGGTTTTTCTTTTCTACCATATCGCGCATCTTCATTTGGTCGAGCCCTTTCGAGTTTGTGGGACAAATACGTTAGTGTTTGTGGGCGATCTTTCCGTCGGGCCTAAGTATGATCTTTCCACGAGCGAGCAATTCCATGGCCTCAGGGAAGATTCGGTGCTCTGCCTACAGGTGACAGTTAAAACACGTAATGTAAGGCTGTAGCATCTAAGAAGTGCTTCTGTCAGATTGCCATTTTAATTTATCAAATAGATAATACTGAGTTTTTTGAAGTCGTCTTTATAAATTGTTTGATATCTGAAGCGAAATTCCTCTTATAGCTGTCAATAATTTCTATAACTGGCCAGCTCAGCTAAAAAGCTATTAAGGACTCGCATCGTTCGTTAGGCAAATCCTTTCCGACTGGTTTTCAAATCTCTGATGACTGCTTTTGGGGGGGGGGGGGGGTCGACATTAGTTGTTTTTCTATGGTGTCTAACATTTGAAATAGTGAGAGAAATTTGATTAAGTATCACTTAATTGAAATGGATCTCGTTGGGATATAAATAGAAATTCGCGGCCCGTTAGAAGGAAAAAAAAATTTGAGAATTTGGAAAATTACGATTCGGCATTTTGAAATGTATTGACTGTGCAATACGCGAGAGCTCGTTGATCTCTATATTCTAATAGCTTTCAAGTCATTTACATCTTTAACAATCATTTGTAAACGTCTTGATTTTAAACAACAAAATGAAAAAAAAAAAAAGGTCTACATTTTTTACGACACAACGAACCTTTTTCACACGTTCTCTAAGCGTCTCAACAGTATCGTCCACTTCGACGGGAACTGGAGCCTGAAGGATGATAGCGCCTGCGTCGATTTCAGGTGCTACAAAATGTACCTGCGAACAAATTTGTTCCATTTTATAGAATATCAATTTAGAACACTACCTTCGGTATTTCCCCGGCTCTCATTTATAATAATCTGTCCTTTTCAAATTAGGCGAAGGAGATAAACCTTATCGGATAAAGTTGATAAACGTTTGAGTGAAATAAAATAAAGGGTTTATATATTAAAATCATCACACAGGAATGGTATGATACTTACCGTGCAACCAGTGACCCGTACTCCACTCTCAATTACCAGTTTATGGGCATTAGGTCCCTTAAATGAGGGCAATAGCGAAGGATGTATGTTAACAATCCTTCCGTACCTGTAATTAAGGCAAACATAAAAAAAGGTTCTGTTAAGATAGGAAATGTGTGGATGTTTGAAGTATTAACTGGTTCGTATGTACACGTTTACATCCGTTACCTGTCCGTAGTATTTCCTCAGCTGTTGTTTTATTGTCATCGCTAGTTAATAAATGCGTTAGCTCAAATGTATCAACACTAAACACAAGTGACTTCGGTTTCCTTTTTTTTTCAATATATTTGCTATTTGCTTACTTCTATATGCCATTCAACAAGGAAGGAACTTGTCATGTCAGGTCTAGGCTTCACGGATGAGAGTTCTAGATCAAAAGAAATGCAATTTTAAGTTAAATACTGCTGAGGCGGTACGATATATTTGTGCTGTGTACAACGATAATTTTCCATGTCTGAAGTTTTACGTCCGGTGTCGCCATTAACCATTCTACCAGACGCCTGGCCCCCAACAGGAAACAAAGCGCGGCTAGGCCTAGGTTTGAAAAGGCCCACAGAGGTGACTCCGTAGCTGAGAAAACCGCTCCAAACTGATTCACGATATTTAAAAATAGCGCCTTATAATTAGACAATGAGGTCGATGAGAACCAGCTGAACACATCCTTGACCGGCGGACAATTTATAAATTAGGCGAGAACATGCAATTCTTGATACGCATTTTAGATTTATAAGGTGTGCTTAAAAATTAAAAGCTTGGATGTCTCAATGAATATTACCCCAGGAACATAACTACTTATTGCATCCTAACATTTCATCGAACACGAAACGATACGCAGCTGCAGTCTGAGTGAAAGGCCCAGGCTTAAAGTTAAGCCAGATTTCTATCAGTTATGGAGCAGTATGGGGTTAAGTGTGGTCTTCTACACTGCTTGAAGCGAACAAGACGGTCAACTGGGGTCTGTATGGGACCAAGCTGCATCAAGTGAATGCAGATACCCAAAAGAAAAGACCCAATAATTAACGTCCGGCCGCACATGGCAAACGTTATGAAGGCCGCTCTGCAAGGGTGTATGTGGAAGATCTATTAGCACCCGCTACATTCGTCAGACCTCGCTTTGGTGAATTATTACCTTCGCTGATCAATGACAAATGAAATTATCTTGTCAGTAAAGATTATCTCAGTTAAACGTAAATGGACGGCTTTTTCAATACTAGACCTAGCGAAAACGGATAATAATAATTTGATTGATAGATGGGAGAAGGTCATGAAGAGCGACGAATGCATAAAAATTTATGTGTCGTTGGAATTATACCGAAGTGCTGCCTGTTCTTTAGGTGAAGAGAAAACGAAAGGGGTTTTAAGTATATTTTTTACCTAAATTGCGAATATCGGCATGGATATCTGCCGTAGCCTTCTAAATCTTATCCAAAGTTACGTCTGTCTTGACGTACAGTTTATCACGTATAGAGAAATATTTTAAATGGTTTTGTATACTGTGTCTGATGTTGTAATAGTGTGCCGTTGACCTGCACATATAAATACTACCGCAATCAAAATGGATCCATCGAATTAGATTTAAAAGTAGACTTCTGCGGGTGTCGCACCATAACGTCCGCCGAGCCTTCTTACCATTTCTGTATAAACTCGCTCGTGACAATCCTCATGAAGCCGGCAAGGCAAATGTATTCGGCGCCGGCCGCTACCAGCGCCTCATGGACTTTATTGTCGAATTCCTCCCGTGACTTGTAGAGTTTATGTGAGATCACCTGCAAACGAATAACGCCAAAAAGGACTTCGATCATATTTTTTAGACTTGTACCTCAATAGACTCAGAGGGTTTTGGGATTCGGCCAGTTGATTTCGTCAGAGTATTAGCCACCGTATCGAATACTAACCTTGGTCGGAATGCCGGCACGATGTGCCCGATCCAGTCCTTCAACGCCATCAACGTTTGAGATAACTAGAACGATCTCGGCGGCCGATTGGCGTTCCTTAAAATATAAATGACGGCACGAAAATAGATCATTTCGTATTGCGCTAAGATTTATGATAATACTACTTAATATTGATAAGAATACGTTTCATCTATTTTTCAAACGTTTCAATATAGCATAAATTTCAAGTAATCCTAAATGTAATCTATAGGCACAGCAAAGAAACACTGGCTGCGGCTTCAAGTAAACGTTCTGCGAAAAGCTGCGCCAACCGTTGTCATTTCACTCAGCTTACGTTCATGAATTTTTACAATTTACGTATCGAATATACTAGACGTACTTTGTTCTTGACGTGGTTAATTAGAGCCTGGAGATTGGTTCCAGTTCCCGAGATCAAAACGGCGAACTTCCGCTTAGGCGGTTTTGGTTCGAGAGATGATCGATTGATCGATCCGTCAAAGTTTCTGAAACGAACTCATCCGACGAATACCAAATACTCAATAGCAAGGAGACGTTTGCATGGAACAATCGAGCAAAATTCAGCCAGAAAACTATTTTTACGTGTAGAAACCTGCCATAGCTTTGGAAGGTTTAGTAGGACATTTATTCTATGATGCGTAAGAAACAAGCATCTGCGACTTACGTGCATAATAATTATTCATCCTACTACACAAATTTCGAACGTACGAAGTAAGCAAGTACGCATACCTAACATTAACTTGTGGTGATCCTTCCTTGATGGCAAGAACCTTGCCAATCACACGAGCTTCTCTATCGGTTTCGTCCAGTACGGCTTGAACGTTCTCGGGTGCAACAATAGCGACCATTCCAAGCCCACAATTAAATGTTCTTAGCATTTCCTCGGTCGCGATCGCTCCCTCCGATTGCAGCCAGTTGAACACAGGAGGAACACACCTGCAAATATTGTGAAGCTAATCTTACGTTTCTTAATAATTTTTCATACTTTTTTTTTTGCAATGCACTTTCATTAAACTGACACAGGCCGAATTTTATTTACCATCCGAAGAAAGATTTAATTTAAACGATACATTTTTAATGTAATATCGAAGATCTTAAAAAGCCGAAGATCTTAAAAAGCCGAAGATAAGCGAAAAGACAATTTGATAACAACTAAATTCCAGTAATTTGTTAAAATTAATTGTTCTCATTGCATCATGTCAAAAAATCAGTTGCATGATTACCACTCGGCAGCATCGAGGAAGACTCCGAAATTTTTAGTGAGCATCCTAGGAATGTTCTCCATAATGCCCCCCCCAGTGATGTGCGCCAGGGCTTTTATCTTCCCGGATCTAATGACACTGAGAAGGAGCTTGACGTAAATTCGCGTAGGAGTCAAGAGCACCTGCCAGAAAAAGATGGCCATTTTAACGGCACAAAATTGCACGATAGATGACAATCGCCGCTTATACATCTACCCGAATTTTTGTACAATTAATATTGTTTCACATCCTCTCGAAGCATTATTTGTTTTTCAGAGACATTTTCAAGGTTTGTAGGAATACGACGACGTCTAGCTTTTGCAGTATTGCAGGATACATTATATCGTAGCATCGTACGACATTTAACTCTGTCGTCGTTCATTGGTGGATTCGAACGGCACAAACCTCTCCGAGAGTTCTGGAGTCATCGAATGGGGCTGGATCTGAATAACTGAGTCCACATCTTTTGACAACTTTACGAACGAGGGCATAACCGTTCGAGTGCATTCCTGATGAACTGAAGCCCAGCACAATATCGCCATCGTTGATATCGCCCTCCCGCGGAAGCATCTAGCAACAGAAATGTAGAAAATTGAGGCATTATTTAAATATGAAGAACAATTAATATGACAAAAAAAAATGAGTAGCGAACGGAGAACATGTCTTGAAAACCTGCCCTGCATATATATATATATATATTATGTAAGTATACTCTGTACCAGAATCTTCACATCGTATAAAAAGAAAGCGACATATAATTTGCTTACATTGCATCTCTAGTAAAGCTCAAGCGATGTTTATCTAAGAGCCTGGCTATCACAGATGACATAACAAGTTCAGACATTTACCTTTTCTTGATCGACGGCTCCGACGGAAAAGCCAGCGAGGTCATAGACTCCTGGAGAGTACATACCCGGCATTTCTGCTGTTTCACCACCGATCAAAGCACATCCGCTTTGACGGCATCCTTCAGCAATACCAGCGATTACCTGAGATATGTGGAAAATAGAAGATCTGCTATGCGTACATATTATCCATGTTGAGCGACTCTTTTTATACTTACTCTAATAACATGATAAATTATCTTATTCTCGGAAAATTGTCGAAACGCTCAACAGGTCGTTCGAAGCTGTAAAGCGACAAAAAAAACCAACCTTATTTTCGAGTTAGGAAAGATCGTTCTACAGGATTAATATCATTTATCATATTATATAAACACGCTAAATTGCACTTGAAATAAAGTATATGATCCAGAGAAATTATATTGCTTAAATGACGTTTCTCGTGTACAGTGACTCGCCAAAGCTGAAATTAAAAGTTAGTAGGTATTTACTACGCGTCTCAATATGACAGGCTGACAGCACAAGCACAGAGCGCTGCCTTAATCCGATTTATGAAAAAAAATAACCAAAATAGGACCAGCAAAAGTAGGGTCGCTAGTAATTTTTGTCAAGAAGAGAAAACAATAACGTAGACAACAAACCTCCTTAGCTGCAACAAGGTCAAGATGGCCGCAGGCGAAATAGTCCAGGAAAAAAAGAGGTTCCGCTCCCTGCACCAGGATGTCGTTCACGCACATCGCGACAAGATCAATACCGATCGTGTCATGCACATTGACCGCTTGCGCAACTTTTAACTTTGTACCAACCCCGTCTGTTCCGGATACCAGGATAGGATTATTGTACCTAATGAAGGATGGTAATTGTCCATAGTAAGATCCTGGTGGCATACTTCAAATGATCGAATAAGTGTTTAGAATGGGCAGGATGTCTGCGATAAATTGGCGAAAAAAAATATTCAAAACTTTGACCACTTTTCATAATAGCGGCCGTCATTAGTCGACTATTCTTGGTGCTAGAAACCAGTCGGTTCATCCCGGAACAAAACTATAATTTAGTGATAGTAAAAGCGAAAGATCCGTCTGAGTAATATCAACGAGCATCAGCTTCCCCAGTCTAATATTTTCATGCTTAATACGCTTTCATAAAGATTATAAACTTAGCCTATTTGCGGTTTGCGAATAAAATTTACTAAAACAAAGCGAGGGATCTGCAGTATAAAATAAAAAAAAATTATCAAAAGAGTTCAACAGACCATTCGTTTTGCCACCGAGGGTAGCGGATTTTAGGAGAATGTCTATTGCTAAAAATATTATTCAGATAAATTCCCACGGTTTGGGGCTTTTGGATTGCAGTCAGCCCCATATTTAGGCCGTTGAATTTTTTGTGGATGGCATATCTGAGCATACTTCAATGAATCTGATCGTGCTAATATTGCTTCATTCACGGTTGCACGGAAAGGTTATTCGTAAAAAACTTCATCCAGATGTCCGTTTTCGCAATTAAAAAATAAGCAACACAAGTTTTATCCTAATTTATTCCAAACGCGCTGCATATTGTAATGTAACTTCGAAGCTTGGAGATTATTTAAAGCTTCGAAACCCTCCTCCAATGTCCGTTCATTTAAATTACGATAGGCTATTTAGGTTGATTATAACATTATATTTCTATATAAAAGGAACTTACCCAGCCGCTTTAAGATCAAAGAGACCTCCAAAACCACCGATTGAGCCTATAACACCCGCGCGTTTGGTAGAGTCCGTGAGAGACTTTATGCTCCGGACGAGTCGGTCGCCTGCCGCAATGTCCACGCCTGACATACAATACGTGAGCGGATCCTTGGGACAAGCGACACTTATTCCTCGGTACGCAATATCTCGCCGGTAGTAACGGTTTTCGAAATGAACGAACTCAGCGCCAAGCTGAGCAAGATATTTGGCTGTTCGCAGGTCACTGTGTTGCGCCAGACAAATCATGACTCGGCCACCGGACGTGACGAGGTCACCGTTGGCATCAATGGACGTTCCCGCATGCAGAACTTTTACATCATGTCCTGCTAAGCTTTCAAGACCAGTAATCTTTTTGCCTTTTGAATAGGCTCCAGGATATCCGCCAGATACCAGCACAATGCCACAAGCGTACGTGTTCTCTTTCCACGTGGGATGCGCTTCAGGTAGACAACCATCAATGCAAGCCAGCAATGTGTCATACAGATCGGAAGTTATCAGGGGAAGAACCGATTCCGTCTCGGGGTCACCGAAGCGACAATTAAATTCAAGCACCTTGATCTCCTTATGTTTAGTTATCATGAGTCCGGCAAAAAGACAACCTACGAACGGAGTGCCTGCACTTCGAAGACCATCAATAGTTCTCTGAATAACCTCACTTTCAATTCGCTTCATGATCTGATTGTCAATCAGAGGACATGGGCAGTACGCTCCCATACCGCCTGTATTAGGACCTTTATCGTTGTCCTCCAAGCGCTTGTGGTCCTGCGCTGGTGGCATGCAGTACACATTTTTTCCATCTGAAAAAGCCATCACAGACACCTCATTTCCACAGAGAAGTTCTTCAACCACAATCGTATCGCCGGCGTGACCCATCGAGGCTTTAATTTTGTCTACTGCAGCTACAGCCTCAGTCTTGTTAGCTGCAACGATTACGCCTTTACCGGCAGCTAATCCCGATGCCTTAACCACGAGAGCGTTGAAATCGGCCGTAAGAATGAATCTTTTAGCTGCTTCGGAATCCGTAAAATGTTTGTATCTGAGAAAAATATTTCATATATATATGTTATTGGGGTAGTTTTTGCAACAGGCATAGGAAATTCTCCAAGCTGATACAACTTGAAAACCTAAAAAGTGGAAATTTTTATTGGAGGGGTGAAATTTATTGCATCCAAATAGATTATTTCATTCGCTGAAAGTAAATGTATCGTAACCTACTTTGCTGTGGAAATATTGTGTTTGATCATGAAGTCTTTGGAAAAGGCCTTCGACGCTTCGATTTGCGCGGCAGCTTTCGAACAACCAAAACATTTGATTCCAGCAGCGCTTAGGACATCAGCTACACCGTTAGCCAAAGGATCCTCTGGGCCTACGACAACAAGGTCGACCTGAAACAACAGTGACGTCTACATTAAACTTCAGAGGGCTTGACGAGCGTCACGGCTAGAATTATATCTACTGCTACATTTTCATAAGTGTAAAATGGGTATTATTCAAGCGCACGCTTTGCGGACCACATTCCACTACAAAACTGCTAAACGAGATCGGTTTTTAACTAGAAAAAAGTAAGCGAGATGAGTTTCTCACCTTTTCTTTTTTGCAGAAGTCCGCAACGGCTGCATTGTCAGAGATCTTCAAATCGTTTACATTTGTGCACTTGTTTTCTGTGGCCGTTCCTGCATTTCCGGGAGCCACTAGCACCCGTTTCACCTAAAAATATAATTTTATATATAAAATATAATTTATTTTTACAAAAAATCAAATTTTGATACCAATGTATAAATACTCTTGTGGTGTCGCATCTGCAAAATGTTACACGTCAGATAATATCGCAGTATCTATTTTATCTCGATCGTTTCTTATTGTACCTTTGGTGAGTCGCCCAGCTTCCATGCGAGAGCATGTTCCCGTCCCCCGGAGCCGAGCACCAGAACTGTTGCCATAGTGAGCTCCGATAGTGCTCTCAATGACAGCTATATTAGTCCTGCAGAAATTGTTTTGTAAAATAATTTTTTTCAATATAGATGAATATAGCATACGTTAAATAAATTAAGCATACGTTTAATAATACGGTACTAAATTTATTTAAATAAATTGAACTAAATTTATCAAAACCTTAGTCAGGTATGTATACTTGACACATGTGGCTGGCAGCGCGGTAAAGCTGGACGGCGTTGGACCCAGTGCAGGTTAGACGCAATAAAGGCAATAGAGGCGGGTTGCTGACTACCGGAAAAACAGTTGAGGTTTTCAACGCTATACAAAATGACGACGTAACATGGACAGCGTCCGATCAGAGCGACAATAAATTATGCACCAACGTCTACATAAGATAACGTTGTTATACAGCTATTAATTAACTGCACTATATATACTAAAATAAATGTTTTGAACTTTCAGTCCGATATTGCGCAACAATTATTCAGCGACATACTAAAAACACGTGCAGAAACACGACCTCGGAGTGACGTAAAGAAGTACTTTATTTTGTAAAGCACTAGACAAAATACCAAGAGCATGCACGGACCGTCATATCTCTACAACCTTAGGACAATATTTTTCTCATTATCAAACTGCTCAGAATGTAGATTATTCCATCGCCAAGTCTAGAACCAACTTGTGCTGCTAAGTACAAAAGCCTAAATGAATAGAACAGAAACGCATTGGTTTGTATAGTAAGTCAGTAAATAAGTTGCTGCGTTGATTCATAGAAGGCTTGCAATAAACCTTCCTTCACTTGCAATCAAACAAATCTGAAAAAGTATACGGGTTTCGTATACATGGAACATATTTTTCTATAATTATCTAGTACCCCATCAAAGCATGATTTTGACGCTAGCAATATTCACTTATTGACCATTGCAAATCACAGGCTTGTATAGGGAAAACCTCATCAGGAAAATAGGCTCTTAAAAAAGAAAGACGTCACTGGCTGTAATTCAACTTTACTAATACAAACGTTTGGTACCCTTTCAACTATGAAACGGGTCGTATAAAATAACGTTAAATTTCCAAATGAACATTTTATTAGCAATTTTATTTTGACACGAAACACGAAAACGACGAGCTTCTCCTAAGCACTTTATATTTGTTAAACAATTAATAAAGCGTATTGGCAAAGCACCATTTGCTCTTTCTAATAAAAGCCGAAAAAGCCTCTGATGACGAACCAACTGCAGGAAATGCAGCTGCGCAAACGTTTCTGTCAAATTTACCACGCGCCGACAGGACAAATATACAAGTAACTGAAAATAACAAATCTGAATCTTGGCCCTGTTTTGTTGTTTTTAAATTGCAACACACATCACTGTAAAGATAACCTTTCTGCTCTGAAAAATGTGCAGCCACTTTCAAGTTAGCCACGAGTAATAAAACAATAGCAAAGGCTTGCAATGTCACCGAAAGTAACGTGACTTCATAGGTCTCTAGAGGAGTGCTTCCTCATTCGATCTTGAAAATACGCTATCAGCTTACGCTCTGTGCTTATCTGTATTATATCAGATGGTATTGAGGGTGATGTCAAAGCGGGCATAGGTGTCGCTACCGTTAACGATTTTAGCATACGAATGCATACAGCGCGTTAAGTGAGAGCGATTTTTTTCCCACAAGATGGCGCTTTATGCTTGTCTTAAAGCAGAGGATATGGTATAGGGATAAAGTAATAGGCATTCTTCCCAAACGGAGTAATTCGAAATGCGTTTACTTTTTACTCTTCATGCTGTAATGAAAATAGAGCACGTATTATCCAATAGTAATATAGCTCCTAAATATTATCAGGTGCGCTTTGCGTGGAACGCGTACAGGCGATCATAGACTAGCTGTATAGCCTTGAAGTGATAATCGAAGATAACCAATGCGACTATACACTTGAAAATTGTAGGGCCATGCGTTTACAAAACACTGACAGGGTAACTCTATATGTAAATGTGACTAACGACGAGAGTGTTGAGAAGATAACAGATCATCAGTTATCGCTAAATCTTATCATGTGATCAGCGATTGCCACAGTCGAGTCTATCTAAATTGTCCGTTAGGAAGCCCACCATTATAATGGCCAGCTATTTGACAACGTTGTGTCGGTCTTTCAAGACGAGACGTTCTTTGCAAGCAAAACACAAACAAGCCGCCCTAAATGCTGAACTGCAACGTATAAAAAATGTATAACAAAAAAACGAATTTTTGAATTCGAAATTGCACAGCGTCTTGCTTCCAGGATCCCGGGAAGCATGCTTGCAGTTATCTCATTACTCTATTAGTTTTTGCTTTAAAATGCTTTACCTAGTGTATCTGTACAGCTTGGATTGAACAGCAACAGGCAGTACCTAGACAAGGCTCAATTATAGGACATTTAGAACAACGTAAAGGACAGTCGGCCTACACTCTACGGCAACTGATGTACAAGGTGACGGTCCGTCCAGTAGGATGAGAAGTAGTAGTTATTTTATACTGCGAGCCAACGTCCCCATGTGAAAAATGTCCTTCAATCTACTTGTGCAAACACGGGCTCTATTCGCGGCACAGAATATAACGAGAACTACCTTCACTTGAGAGCATTCGACTACGATAGACTACACGTATTGACGAAACACACCTCTAACAGACTATTGGCACCACACAATTCTTTCAGTCACTTGGGTCGCCTGAGAGAAGCTAACGCCACGCTATTGCGTCAACCTGTCGAGTAGACACGAACGCCCAGTTGAGTTGAATCGCTCTGGCGATGCCTACAAGATGTTGTCGCAATCTAGACAGATGGTTACTGCAGACGCAAAGAGAATCCTTCTTTCCTCGAGACGGTCTAACTGCAGTGGTGCGGCAGCTCCTGAAAAAGGATATCGACGGCGACAGTTGGTGATGCTACGCGCCAGTGTTAGGTGACCCGCAGATGGGCAAGATTCCTGATGCACGAAAGAGTGCGTTAGAGGGTGGGACATTTGACCGATGGGCTGAGTTTGTCAAAAGGACTGGACAATTCTAGTTGACCCAAGTTCAAACAAAAGTAAACATAATGTCGGTATCTTGCATAATTTCGACGACGGAAGCGAGTGCTAGTCTTATGGCCATGCTCGCTCTCAACTCCAAGTTCTCGGATCTGCTTAGAAATCCTTCCGAATGCATTATTTATTTAGAAGTGATTCGAGATTATACCTCACGGATAAATTAGAAGACATTTTTATAGCAACAAAGCTAACCAGATGCGGCATATGGGTCGTATACAATATATAAATGCACATACTTAGGTAAGTTAATTCTGAACCTGATGAACATTCTCAAGGAATAACAGGAGTAAAATGGTTTTATGTGTACAAACCTTTGCTAAGAGGACGAAAATATGAAACGGTATAAAAAAAAAAATAATAGTAATCTAAGATAGCGATTCCAGTTTCGATAATTATTCGCTTCGTAAACCGAGAGCGGTGAAATGATGATAGTTTCTTTGTGAAGGCATCTTGGATAAGTAACATCTAATCAGATACCCTCAGAAATGCGCACTGACTACGTTAGTTTATCCAGATCTTCAAAAGAACAAAGGACAGTTGGGAAACGTAGATTTTCACCGACTGACGTCAGATAAGCTTGTAGCACCGCTTTTTTTTCTTGAACCGCCGAAAGTTAGCGGTCAGTTAGTGGAAAAAAATCAAAAGTCATTACCTAGAACGGTCTAAGAATACGGTACCTCAGGCAGCGTGATTAAAGTCAAACTCCTTTTTTCTTTTTTAAAATCAAACACGCATTTCATTAGAAATTAGTAGATGTTTCATTTTTTTTTCATGGTGACGACGATCAACTCGAGCAATTATCTCAAATTTCGCTTCGAGCTTTGTGTTAACCCAGATACGTAAAATAGGCCCAAAAAACGTGCTATGTTAACTAATAACCACAGTAATTGCCCGCTACGATTCTCAACCAATTTCCGCGCTGTCTTCTACCAGACTAAACTAACGGTTGCTCCGGTTAGGGCAATCGTTGGTCAAAGCCTTAACTGCAAAGCAATCAATTATCGAACTTGGCGCTTAATGTTTATCGTGGCTTGGAATGAGCAATTTCTCGATCGAAACCTTCATTTAGCCAACGGGTCCTAAGAATATTTACTAAATGACTGCGCGTCATCGATGGCGTTTTAAGCGAAATCGGTCAATTACATACATATCTTGTTTGCTTGCTCGGCACGCCTGATCAATATGGGTATTTCAACGCTTCGCGCGCCACATCGATCAGCCTCGTGTCCGACGAATATTTGGGTTCGATTCAGATAATTAGTAACTGTGCAATTATTGCATTACAATCACTTACAATTCTGGATAATAGCTCGTACCATACGCACACTATAGAGTACAAGTTCCTATTCAATCGTGAACCAGCGTGAATATCATCCGTTTTCAAAAGAACTTTAGCAGAACAAACTTGAGATTAGTTTTGTGTAGGCGCGACGGATAAGCTAAAGACGTTCGGCTACTTTATGGCGGTAACAGAATGAGCAGCTGGTGATGCTATCGTAACAGATTTCATTCGGTCGATTTAGTAGTCAAAGTGTGGCATGCCGAAGGCGAGATGATAACATGAGATCGAGATTAGATAACCCAAGGTACAAAACAAGCTTGCACCTAAAGACGTGAGGAGAGATTTCGAAGACAGGTTCTTCCAACGAGACCGCGATCGCTGATTGGTCGTACCGGCATAAAGACTGTCTCAATTAGTGTCAGCTGGTTTTTAACGGTCGAAACGACCTATCTCATTGGAGAGTTTAAACGGAAATTATTTAAATTTACCACATTAATGTATCACTCAACTATGATTGCATAAAGGATTAGAATACGAGACGGATCTAACGTACGATTGTAGATCATACAACGCAAAGAAAACGTTATCTGTCTTAACGGATCCAACGGAAAAGCCTTCGGTCCCCGATGGAATGATGTCGATTGTATTATTTTTTTTCATAGCTGACAGTCGCTTCGATATGCGTCGTAGCTTTTGCAGGGCGGTGTCAGCTGAAGGTCTGCTGTCGCACACATAGCGAGCTGCATATAGAACGGCGCAACATACCTTACCTAATCAAAAGTGACCTGATAAAAACAGGAACTTGCTACGTGGGCCTTTGCAGTGGAGCAAAAGTTCATCAGAAGTTCAATTGTCATTGTAATCCGCTTGTTTAATAGGTCAAAGGCTCTCTTATCGCTAAGTTCGTGGCGAACATAGCGGCCCGATGTGTTGAAAGCCATAGATAACGAGCGTTTTGGTTGAAAAAAAGATCGGCTTTAATTCAATCGCAATACTATGTTTTTACATAATATCTGTTGTTGTACCCAATTCATACCTCAACGTTTAGAGAATTTTTATTTCAACACGAATAAGATGCAGTTCTATCACCAGTTGTTTAGGTTGCTTTGTGCAGTGGGTATAGCGTCGTTGAATTCAGCGCAATTAGCATTGTTTTGCCCAATTGGCAAAAGCGTCTCGGCAGCGTAACGGCCGCCACAGCGATAGCATTTACGTTGACCGTCTGCAAGTGGACCACGATAAAATAAATGGCAGTATATCTAACACTACATTTAACGCATTTTCTATTACTACCTATATTGGCAACATAGGTAATGGTCTACGTTGACGGAGTCATTCTTCAGGGCTTTATCGATGCAGTGGTTGTTTTGCCGACTACTTTAATGAGCATTTTCTTTCTAATTTGTCAGATTGGAGCGAAGTGAGGCGTGATGAATTCGATTTAATGGTATCGGTATTACAGAGGTGTTCATTAGCATCCAGTATTGCGTACATGTATATCCATACATACGAGGCACGTGCATGCATACACGATGGCATGTTGTGAGGTGTGAACAGTTTACTCGACTTCATGCGAATGAATACACGAACCTTCTTTGTAACTAGTTTACATATATGATTGTCTTGTTTCCACGATTACTGCTTCAATGTTGTACTACAAAACAATTCGATCATCAGCTTCGGTCTTGATGTACCTAACCGGCTACAACTTCCTAGCTAAGAGAAGTGGATCATAATGGCTTTTGTGCAGAGTATATACGAGAGTCATTATGGAGTGACTCTCGTGTATAATCCCTCCACAATTATTAATAAGGAGAACTTATTACTACCAGCCATGTTCATTTCATGGACCTGAAAGTACGAGTGGACCCTTCTCCGCATGCACTAGTCATGACTTAATTGAGGTAGCATTTCTTTTATAATCGCATGTTTTTAAAACGTGACCGTTTTTTTATTTATTACTTGTCTCTTTCCTCCCCTTAAGGATTACCCTTGAGCTTAGCCATGCGTTGCATTCACCACAGGGTTTGCTGAACCGTCAGACCGGTCCATAAAATTACAAAATAACAACAGCACTAAACTATCGTTGTTAAGGGCTGCCGATAAGAACACTCGCAGATACAAACATAGAAAAATCTCTCAAATTTGGCGTAAAACCTTTTTACGAAAATGAGCAATAACAAAGTTAAAAATTCGGTAGTCCTGCAGTCATTGAGGTAGCGTTCTAAGGAGCACGCAATATAGGAATGAAAGCTTCCAGAAGCATTATTCTTGGATGTTATTATAACTAAAGTAAATCCATTGAAGAGAAAAATGGTTATCTTCTTTACGTGTGACGGTAATATGATTACAGATTGCCTTATCTAGGGAGAGACCAGGTTACGTACCGTAAATTTCTGTCTTGAGATAGAGCACGATAATACTTGCTGTGAGATAAGATTTTTCATACGAAAATAATTACAACTGTTTTAGTTGCACAGAGTTCATAATTAATGTGTACTATATATAGTGCTTTACAAAAGGTCAGCGTAAATAGGATATCTTTGCAATTTATAGAAAATTAACATAATTATTGGGTAACTAACAATTCAAGAGATTGATATCCTAAATTGTGAAAGGAAAAAGCTGTAAAGCTTTTTCTTTTCACAGTTTCAATTTCTTCACATAAAAAGCTAACTTTAAGATTTTACACGATAGACCTTTCGAACTCTACAACTTTAACCATCAAAAAAAAATTTGAACCTAATTGTACATCATAGTTACAATGATGTACTTAAATTTCAAGTTTTTTTTTTTCGATTGTTCATATCTTTAAGTGCAACTTGGCCCGTGGACAACAGTTCTAGGTGAAGGTAGCGGTGAAGTGCAAAAGAGTTGTAGATAGACAATTACACTTGAATTCGACGTACCACACTCTTCATACATTTCTCCTCATTTTTTACGTACCACGTTTATAACACCATGTTTTAACAATGCACATTTATTTATTACTAATACTGTATAATTCAAATAAAGATGTATGTATTTATACGGGTAAAATGGTGTTATATTTGCGAAGAGCGAAAAGTAAAAAAAGCTACTGAGGATATGGCACAACTAAACACGCGCTTAAAACGAGCGAATTACACGTCAAGTAAATACCACCATCCTCAATCTGTCCCATTTACGAGCAATTCCAATTGAACCTGATAACTTTTCTCAACAAAGACTTCCGTATTTCTATATTTAAGACACTACTGACTTCTGATTAACAGTTGTTGTCGTTTATACTCTACGAAAAAAAGAATGTCATTTTTATCATTGAGAAAGCTTGTCTGAGTGAATTGCGCAGCCGAAAATGGGCCGCTTTAAATATAATTCTGTCTAATGTAGCTTGATTCATTGCTGCAATAGAATATAGATTTTTAATAAAATGTACTGTAAGATAGGACACTGTTCAATTCCTATTTCGTCGATAAAAAATGATTCCATAACGGTTACGATGGGCTGCTTAATCACTAGATCAGATTGGCAAAAATCCTAGTGTACCATATACTCCTTATAAAGACAAGTCTCCCGCAAACGTATCAAAAGTATAAACTGAAACCTCTGCAAAACAATTGGAACGCTGTTGATGGACACGACTGACTTTAAAACAGGAATAAAAGTCTGGGAGATGAAATGCATATTTTTAAGGAGTACCTGCTGTACACCTTTATACAATTATGCAAGGGCATTGAGCTTTGAATTTGAAACTTGAAATACAAATGAGTTGTTTGGTCAATTACGCACTAATTTAATGCACAAAAATAACCATCATCTTCAGTTGAACAAGCATATCCTCCATAAATATTTAATCAGCAAATGGTTTCAGCATCGCTCAGTGAATGCTTTGCTTGACAAAGGCCTCAGAACTTTGGCTTCCATATAGCCCACACTATATGAAATCCGTGACTCCAACTGCAAAAATATTAACCAGTAATTCTGGAAAAAAGAGCCTGGTTAGGTTTCGCATTAATTTGCGTGCTCTTTAAGAAGATGGCTAGCTATAACAATCCGTTGGATTTCTGACGTTCCTTCGTAGATTTCAGTGATTCTGGCATCACGGAAGTAACGTTCGGCAGCCATATCCTAAAATGTATATGAGAAGTCGATGTCAGAGGCAACTTCAACGCTACATATTTTACGTGATCGTGCATATATATACATATATATGTATGTGTATACTAATAGAGACTTGAGTCCGGCAGGACCTTTCCGCCAACCGAAGGTAGTTTTGCAACAGTATCTGTTATCTGATATGACCCCGTAAAAAATACATTTAGTGAGCTGAATAATATAATTTATAATAACTAAACAGGACTAAATATGCGAATGATGCTAAGCCATTAAAGAAAAGTGCCATAGCTCAGTATTATCGTGGTCGTTTACGATTTTTGATATAATCTGTTCTCATTCCGACAATGGTATATCACTTAGGTATACTTTCCACCCAAGATTTTGAAACAAAACAAATATCGCAGGCAATCTACCTTGACGTATCCCATCCCACCGAGAATTTGAACAGCTTGGTACGCACAAAAGTTCGCGGTCTCAGATGCACTAAGTTTGGCCATGGAGGCCGCTTTTCCAAATGGAAGGCCTTGGTCCTAAAAATACATACAAAAATCAACCGTGCTATACTACTGCATATATATACTACTGCAGTATAGACAACAACTAACTAACAGAGGGTCTCTAATGGAGTGTGCAGTTCTCAACAGTTGAATTGATCATTACGGATACGTTTCCGGAAAAAAAAATATAATAAAAAAGCGATGCGTTTTTGTAAACGATGATATATAAGCTCTGTCAAGCTACTTACCATTAGCCACGCAGCATGCCATGTCAACAATCTAGCAGCGTTCATTTTAGTTTCCATATCAGCTAACTTGAATTGGATGGCCTGCAGTTGGGATATCTTTTGGCCGAAGCATATTCGCTCTTGCGAGTATTGTATCGCTAAGTCCAGAGCAGCTTGACCGATACCGAGTGCCTGGCTAGCAATACCTGAATAGAAGGTTTTTTTAAAAATCATCGACTGTACGCTATACTCAACAACTTAAACTACGAGTTAATCATCGAAGTATTAAGGCATCAAAATAAACCGTGACTCATTCATTGAAAAGGAAAACACTTCGTAGATACTACTAACATGACCCACCGCTATTCTGCTTTACCTATATTTTAAATAATAAGTAGAAGAAATATTTTTAAACTCTATTTTAGTTAAAAGGTTTAGTTTAGGCGCGCCCCTTAATCATAGCTGTTGAGCAAATGCCTACCGATTCTCCCGCCGTCAAGAGCGCTCATCGCTATCTTAAATCCTTCATGGTCCTTCCCCAGTTGATATTCAACCGGAATTTCGACGTCCTCGAAAACCAGCTGGCCAGTCGATGAAGCTCGAACGCCCAACTTGTTTTCAAATTTAGGCCTAGCAAGCCCGTCAATGGGCATAGGAACAAGGTAGCAACCAATGCCTGTAAAAACGATCGCCCATAGAACCCAAACAGTAGCCTAAATAGGAAAGACAACTATAACTAATTGGCACTAACACCATCAAATAAAAAAATATTCCAAGCTGGTAACTTACCTGACAGCAATCGAAAAACGATTACTCGTTCAACCATTTAATAAACAAAGCCAACCTTTATGTCGTTTTGTACGGTCCGTTGTAGCGAACACACACACGGCCTCGCCTTCCTTCGCGTTCGTGACCCATGCTTTCGTCCCATTCAGAATTATCTATTAAGTCAAGATAATGAAGATGGGTTAAATATTTATGCAGTACTTGCAAGTACGGGTACTTGAGCGATCGCCACCGGATGGCAGAATAGGGTTTATTATTTTAATGCTTTATTAGTATTACATTAAACCTATGATCACGTTTCATATAAGTTTGAACATAAAATTGTTAATTACAGACCTAGCGTATATTTATTCGCAATCAACAGAACAGTCGCAAGCATGCAAAAAGGAATTTGACCTCATCTGCAGCAGGAGTGTTTGAAGTATAAAAGTCGTAATCGAATTTAACACTACTCTGTACTAAGATGGGCGTTTCAATATATTACGTTCGCGAATGCCTCAATTGCTGGTCTATGTCCGTGTTTTGCTTTTACATCTCGGAAAATCACTATCATATTTTTTATAACTGCAATCATCGCCTGAAGTGTCATGGCCAACCGCATTTCTGTAACTCGCAAGTATCCAGGTAATATCTAGATCGATCGGATGCTTGTGCCACCATTCGCTAAATCAAACTCAGTCGTGGGTAGCACTTCACCGAAGAGCTAATAAGTGGTCACCGAATTCAAACGGACAATACGTAAAGACAAAAGCAAAGTACTTCGTGCAAGAAATACCCATGATTCATTATCTTACATATTTTTGTTTATACGAAGTTACCAAGAGAGTTTGTTTTTGTGCTTTTCAAAAAAATGACCACGCTCCGAATAAGGGTTAGCTAAAAAAGAAAGTAGGGTACAACCAAAGCTACATACGCATGCATTGCCAATTAATTTTCAAGACAAGTTGTTCTCTAGCTATAATATATTTATGGCTTTTATACCCATTAGGAAAAAGAACAAATTTTCCCATTCATGCTTCCTGATTTGATGACCAATATGCATTAATGTACCTTATCTCCCTTTCGTGTTGCTGTAGTTGAAATACCAGCTGCATCACTACCATTACCTAAAATAACAAAATACGGAAGCTAAGTAGGTCGCGATCAACTATTTTTTCAATACGAGGATAATTGCTACATCTGTACTCGTGGATAAACTTTTTTGCTATACCTTAACTTTTCATTAAAATTTCCTTCATACTAGACGTGCTACATGCGAGATCAATGACGCATAATTGAAGGTTTTTTCTGCACACTAGATTATATATCAGACGGACAGTTCTGCCTACAATTGAGCAGTTCACCTGAAGCTCGCTTGTTGATGCTAATAGACTCGAAGATAACATTGTTCGAACTAATGAATAGCTGGAAATGAAAAAGGATATACAAAAGTCCATTTTGTAATAAAATTGCTACATTTGAACTGACTGCCGCCAGTCCACTTCTAAATATACTCTAATAATACACGAAGTTATAATATAAACAGATGTCTATAATAAGTACACAAATGTTTTCCTTATATAATATTCCACATAAGAGGCAAGCAGTTATACATGGACATATAGATTACACAATTGAGTTAGGTTCAAAAGCTAGCTTGAACTATGCTTAAAAAAGTTCTATGCTCCTCTGACCTATGAGGACAAAGCCGCGGATCATTTACTCAGATGAAATTCAAAATAATGTTGGTCATATATCTAGCCAGACGCTTTTAGGGTCGTATATCTCGAATAATTCGAGTTGCCTCAGATCGGCTGATGTCATTTGAAAGACTTGGCAGTAATATGTGCCCTGAGATTGTCGGAACGCTTTTATTCAGATTTAAGATAGCACTTTGTAGGTAAGGAAAACCTGTGTAGAAATATGCTATATTTTATTACGATAAGAGTGCAGATGCTGTCCAAGCCCATAGAAAAATTCTACCATTTATGTTCAAACTGTGTTATAGGAGGAAACAATCCAAAGATGGCTCTGTCGCTTTGGTTCTGGAACGTTCAATATGAGAAGTGCTTTTCGTGGTAGTGGACCGACTACGGAGAAATTAGTGAGGTTACGACAACATTAAGGCGGTTAAGGTCAACACGAGAGTAGCCATTACATCACCAAGAAACGAAACATCTACCACCAAACCGTTCTAAACTAATTGAAAAAGCCAACTATAAAGTGAAGTATAAGCCAAAAAAATCTACTCTATTGTGGCTCGATTTGCGAAGCTCTTCAGAAGCGCAACGAAGTCGAATATTTTCTGAAGTAATCAATTACGGGTTGAGAAAAAAGGACCCCATATGATTAAAAAAAAAAAAAAATAAAAAAAAAAGGTAAAAAACCTGCTGCACCATTTGAGGCACAGCCCAGGTTGACACCAAGGAAGGTGATGCTATATGTTTCGTGGTACTCAAAAAGACTCGTGCATTATTAATAGCTACGGACTGGCAAAACGATTGATTTGGATTTGTACAATCAACAGCTGTCACAATCACAACAAGCCATAAGTTTGGATCTCTGCACATCAAAATTGTGAAATTCAGTTTCTTAACGATGTTAATTTAGCTTCAATGGAAGAATGCAAAAATCTCGTGTTAAATTTTTTTGCCCAGATACCACAAAACTTTTACCGTGATGGAACTATGATGCTACTAAAAGAATGGCAGAAAGTTACTGATCGAAATGGTACATATTTAGTTTACTTTCAAAATATTTGCTTCAATTTTTAGCTTAAAGGTCATCAACATTTCTTCGACAATCCAATATATGCATGCATATATCTTTTCTTTACATCCGCTGCTCATTACGGACTAAAGCAATAAATTATAAATTAAATTATTTCTAGTGGTATTCTGTTTGACAATAAACTTAATGTGTTATTCTGAACTTCCTACCAGGTTCGGAGAGAGCATAGCAAGCAATACGATCTCCGGCCGTGAAAGGTGTCACGAACTTCTTGATCTGTTCAGGAGAGCCAAATTTGGACACGACTCTAAGGAAGAGGTGGTTTACCGACACGCATACCTATTGAAAGAATGAAAATATACTTACATTAGGTAACACTAACTAATTTTGATTTCTCTGTCAAGGATTGCCAAATATTCGGTATGTTTTAACGCTGTGCTTCGAGCCGAGTTAACTTAAACACCAATCGACACAGGTAACACTAAATAACAAGTATTATAAAATTGGATATAATACGTTTAAGAGTCACTGAGAGCTGTAGGTTGTCACAGACATTTCTTCAGCTTTCAGATGACTTGTGGAAGTTCCATTTAGTAAAAGTTATCTAATGTAACTCCGTTGGAGACCTACGGCTTGCATTAAACCTGAAATAAACGTTTTACGGAAACGTACGAGAAGTTACGACAAAGAGTTCTGAAAACACATTGTGAACGCTCACGTTTATTTTAGGTAAGTATTAGGGGTAAAAAAAGACGCGCCTGACCACTTTTATGAGATAAAATTAATTTAAGTATACACAACGACGAACTTCATTAAAAAAAATTGTTTTAATTCTTACTGCTGTTCCAGCACAAGCCTTCGCTATCTCTTCTATAGCAATAGCGTACGAAAGGGTATCAAGCCCCGAACCACCCATTTCTTGGGGAACGAAGATACTCATTAGCCCAAGTTCTCCTGCAAAATTTGATGTAGTGAGTAAGAACTGTATTCAGCTACTGTATAATGGATCGATTTGCATTAATTGCGCATCTTCCCATACATAAATGTAAACGTAGTCAAACTCACGATAACGGAATAATACAGTAAAAATAATATATCCACTGGCTCTAAGCTTAAGGGCTTAACAAAAAAACCAATATAATAATCAGTCAATAATAAATCAGCTCATACATCCATCTAAAGTTAATAAAAGTAACATCTATATGCATGGGGCGGATTATCATAAACCTATTAGGAATTTAACACTGTCACGGATAAGGCTAGAGTTATTCTTATAATATCGGGGACATACAAACTTATAATATTAACAGACATGCAAATTTTTTTAAAGTATATATAATAATATTACTATGAAAATTTTTCATTTGTATAAGCCACGCAACAGTTGCCACAACTGTACCACTGAAAACAAGTAACCATAATAAAAGGGGGAAAACAGGTAATCTTTGTATGTGTATTACCCAACAGAACGTATACTTGAACAAACCTAAATCATAATGCATATTTGGCATTTCCACTTCAAACGTGTAGGTTTCTAGGTAGCGAAAGGAGCAAGGGATATGTCATAAAAAATACTTATTGGATTTACCTATAAAAAACAAGAAAATATAATACGAAGATTGTTGTTACATCCTAATTCTTACCAAGTTTTTTTATGACTTCCTTTGGATAGATCTTGTGCTCGTCATTGTATGCGGCCTCGGGTTTGATTTTTTTTTCAGCAAAATCACGACAAGTCTTCTGCAGCATACGATGCTCTTCAGAAAGGCCCGAAAAGTATGTTCGTTTGTTTACAGTCAATAAAGGGGCTATTCTCAGATGAGAGAGCTTCCAAGCTCTAACGTTAAGGGTTAGGCCATATCCAATCATCTCTAAGCTTAACTTAAGATAAATATACAAACTCGTGTGATTATATTAGATATAATAGGCACATATACCATAGGTAGATATAGGTCACTCGTGAATCAATTAAATCTGCATGAACTACAATGAAAAGTTGGAAATGTCATATTCATCTTCGCTAAATATTGTAATATACAATTTGTATGAAAATTATTAATAAAAAGTTCAGTTTTTAGACAAACAGACGAACTTCGAAAAATATATTGTATCCTAAAATATGAAAACCTGTAGTTCATATAGCGAATTTCGTTCGGTAGCTTTCATCGTTAACAATTATTTAAGCCATTAAGTAATTAGGTTAGATTCCACAACCATAATAAGTTCCTGTATAGATACTTTTCTTAGGTAAAATCGTATAAATTAATTGGGTTGTAATAGTTGTTATATATTATACAATTTCTACCCCGCATACGGTGAACCATAAGCTATAGCCCTCGTGATTCTCGATCAGTACTTTAAACAAATTGTGGTGCTCTAGCAACCAGGTGACCAGGTGAACAGTGCTTAATACTAGGATTTTATGGCAAACTGCTGATTGAACAAAATAGAAAAGAGAGGTGCATACCTTTAAAAAAAACTTTAACCTATCTTTCAATATTAACAAAAAAAAGGCATCGCTTTTATCAAACACGGAATCTCCTATAAGAGATTTCACACCACCGTCCAATTATGTTATTATATAACTGCTAGTTAGGTAGTTATAACTGCTATATCATTAAAACTGACATTGTCACAGTATCGTCTTACGAAGTCTTTTAATACTTTGCACTATCATTAATTCTCATTTGTTACTATTTATTGTGGTAATATGCAGTTATTTATTTCCAGTGAGCACAAATATTATTACTTAAGACATTCTGACTGTGTTTTTTGACTACCTACCTTCGGCAACAGGTTATTAACACCTACGATATCACCTTGTTATTACTTAAGTACTGTAAACATGTTCTTCACTGAGGGCGATTTGACGTTCGACGGACTAACATTGATTTACACACACCACAGCCGCAGCAAACATAATTATCAGTGGAAAAGAGACTATGCAACGAGAAACCCTATAAAAGGAAGGGAGAGAGAGAGAGAGAGAGAGCACATTTATCTGTTTACACGTGGGTACCCTGGCATGGAAAAAGATAAGCTTTGTCACCGCAACCATTCGCTACAGATTCGTCGTTCACGCTTGTTGTCTCTAGGCGCGTGCGCAGTCAGTACGAGAGAAGAAGCAAAGATATGAAAATTGGATGGCCTCTATTAACACGAGCGTTGGTTACGTCGGTTTGATTTTAAATACTGGCTTTTATAGAAATGAAAAAAAATCACCTAAGTCCGAAAACGATAAAAAAATAAAACATTTATAAAAACTGTAAGCTGTAAATACTGAAAATAATTTACCAATACACATAAATATTCGATCTACATGATACTTACGTGCCTCAAAATTTCACTCATGATTTATTTCACAAAGTCAAACGATCGAATGACGGAATGGGAAAACTCCAAGTAGATGGAAGTAAGTGGCAAATAAAAATTACTTCATTGGGTTCGTTAATAACGAAGGAAATTTTGAAAGTAGTAGCATTAACTAAATGGTTATGGAACGAGCAGCTGATGCCGCTCTACCCTTCAGCAGCTTTCTGTGCCTACAGCTCTATCCAGCACTCTAGAGCTAATATTAAATACGGTAGACTGTCCAACACGCAAGGGAACAAAGTGTTCAAAAACGTTTCACGACAAGTAGGAAACTCACTCATCTTATTAGAAAAACATCAGGGTTATTTGTGACATTTTGTAATGCGCAGAAAGATTAATGAATCTTTCCGAGGGAAAACACTTCAGCCAAGTGTCATGTAAATCAGTAGTATATCTCTCGAGCTCAAGTTCACATTGCGTTCATGGATCACTTACATTAAGCGAATATGACGATATTAATCCAAAAGGTAATCAAAAATAAGCCCGATTAAGGCATTGGAAAGGATCGTGCTACTTGTTACGGGAATGAATATTTGGATGTGTAGCTAATTAGATGCAGCTTACTGTTGCAGTTCCCACATGTAAATTATATTGAGAAATTATACGTGTGTTAGATTAGATATGTTATAACTCATTAAGTGTGCCTGTGAGTACTTTTAATCCTTCAACTTCTATTCTTCTCGTGGCGTACCAGAATTTTTAAAACTTGGATGGCAATTGAACTAAGCACGCGAGATGTTGTAAATAAACGACGAGAATGATTTTATTAGGCGTCTTCAGATTATTTATTGTCAATATTGTATTTCCCAATAGTATTGTGTTGCTTATTTTACAGAACAGACATATGCACCCCTGCGGATGCGGACACATTTCCAAATCTGTGTACGACGGCAAAGAGTCATCATACTTGGGCATTGCATCGCAGTGCCACACACGGCCCACCTATTTATAATTGTTCACCAAGAACACCAGCTTAGAAGCTTAGTTGGCTCATTCAGTGCACGTTTTACCGGCAGTTGCTAACCCGGATGATGCTCCTACACACCAAAACACATACTGCCGCAGTCCAACACAACTGTTTTTTTTTCAAAATGTTTTATATAACGCTCCTTCTCTGTTTTCCTTTCTACGCAATAAACAAAAACGGCATCATAACCATCGAGCGTCCAACATTATTGGTGGTGTGGCAGTTTTTTTTCTAACGAACGTTCTTCATTACGAACATTCGTTTATAATATCAATACTTATGATGTTCGTTTTTCTATCGTGTCCTTTTTGCTCCACCTGCGGAGTACAAAACCTCTATTCCTTGTATAATATTTCACGTTTAAGGGGTAGACGAGAATAGGGTGGTTTAGGCTTTAAGTTTTAATCATTTACCTCATTTCGCCATAACTAGTTTATATAAGCACTTCATGTTTGTCGATTGATTCAATTGTGCTAATCTGATAATTAACTTAATTTAGTCTGAATTGCACGTTGTCCTTCCAAATTAAAGATTTTACCTGCAAATACGTGAAGCTTTTAAAATTCGAGTGAATCCTATTTCGTAGTCAAACACGAATATTTACCTTACTTTCATTGGTCTTTTTTTTTCTTTTGGTCGTAAGCGTTGTAGATACTAATGAGTTTAAGCCTATTTTTGCCCTCCCATTTACCTTACAAATTTTCATCATCTTCAACTTTTTATAAAATTGCTTTTACTCCCAACTAGCTGCTTTTTTATCTATTTAATCGCTTACTTTCTTACTTGAGTTTTTATGATATTTGATTAACATAAATAATAAACCTAAACTGACTTGTTCATCATAACGTTCTTGCTTAGTTTACCCTCCACATGGCATGTCCCAATTGGGGCTGCTCGATCACATTCGACGACGCACGCCCTGTTTGCGTTTGTTCGGTACCTATCTAGTTCGTCCACTTCCTATTTCTCTTTTTCTTTTTGTTTTTATGTCTGTAGCCTTTTTTTTTCTGCTTGTTGGCGCATGCCTCTTTTTCTGTGTTTGCACGGACCAGCTGCGGCTGACGTACATATATAATTTACAAATAATAATTATATATTCATATCCCTATATATACCCTCCTCTGTTGTTCCACGCAATATCTATTTTCATAGTAATTTGTCCCTATAATCAATATATATATATATAATTTTTGTAATAATTATTATGATACTTATTATGTTCTAAATGTGTGCACTCTTTTCCACTTCAGTTTATTTCTTCTGTTTTCTAATTTCTATCAAAAACTTATTAATTGCCCCGTCGTCCAGTGGCTCTTTAATCTGACCCCATTGCTATGCGCGTCCCGGTAGCTATACTTCTCTTATAATTATGCTTAACAACAATATTAATTATATTCTCATCTATAACCGTTTTTCTATCAAGCAACAACTCACAGTGAGGCTGCGCATTATCGTAAACAATGCGCCACGTTCTTTCAGCCAGTACTATTACAGTATCGTCTTAATTTTTTAACTATTCTACCTTTTGTCCTTTTCCCAACCACTTTTAGCGTGGCTGTGTACAAGTAATGTTCGGGAACTTCTAATAGTATAAAAAAAAACGTTAATAACTATTTAACCCCGTTCTAACTTGATAATTAAATTTTCTACTACCTCAAGGCTTTATGGTCATTAACTGTTGTGATCTATTTTCTGTATATTGTACATGACCTGATCAAACCCAATTAGTTTTCTTATTTTTCCCCTTTAAACCGTAGAATCTTCTGTTGCATACATCTGTGTGTTGCTGAAATCACAAACTCATTGACCCTTTGCTCTGTCTCTAAGCATGACCCTTTTTACTTACCGCTGTCCGCCAAAAATATTACACAAAAGCGCAAAAAATAAACTCAAAGGCATAGGAACCACTGCTGTAGCTCCAGAAATTTATCAGCACTAAACTAATCAAATCAAAACGAGAACAGTTTCGGTACTTTGCGCCGCCATCCGTATAGATGGAGGCAACTATACTCTGCAATTGTTTTTTTATCTCCTTTCTCAAGACATTCTTTTTGGAAAATGACAGCAGTTGTAAATCCATTTGAGTGTCCGCACTTGACATCTTTCCTATTTCGGGACTTCTACTCTTCCTAATTCAAAAACATTATCTCCATATAAAGGGGAAGCGCCCTCCAATCGTGTGCTCAATGACAAATGCAATGGCTTGCGGTGATGACCATACGGTGGCGGGTTACCTGTCTTCTGCCGTCTTATGGATGGCAAAGGATTCTGGGTCATGGAAAGTCCTTTCGTCCGCTTGTGGTTTGACTGGCCTAGCTGTCTGTCTGATGCGCAGTGTTGCTAGAAGAACATATGTAATAGTGCTTGTTGTTATTGTTACCCACATCGACCAACGTAATATGGTGGTTGTTTAAGTGCGATTTTGGTTCTTGAGCATCGCGTATTTATTTGACGTGCTGAGCGCATTTTGATCCTGCCCTTCGGTAGTTCCACGAGCTCCTTTCCGTACCGAGGTAAACGCTCCCGCGCCATCTTGCTGGGCGCCAGCTCCCGAACCCCACGCACCAGCAGATTGCACGGTGGCTCCGAGTGAAGGAAACTGGTCGATAGAGTTCACATCAAGATTTCGGTTTTGGTTGCCTCCCCGTTTTATTGTAAGTGGTGCAAGATTGGGTCCACCGCTAGCTGTGGAAGGAGGACCGGAGGTTCGCTCAAATATAGCGCGCATTGCGGGCGGAATGTATTTGCCTTCGCTACTAGCCACGTTACTTTTACTGTCGTTGGCATTATTAGCGGTTTGCTGTTCTGTGTCCTTATATCCAGAGGTTCCATTAGCTTCTTTCTTAGTTCCCTCTTTCTCGTCAGATTTTTTGCCATCTTGCTGGTTGTCCTCTTCGTCGGACGATTCCTCCTGCGGAATATTCCATTTCATTGTAGATTTCGATTCTTCAACAGCCTTTTTTAGGGATTCCTGGTCATTCTCGTCTTGACGCTCTTTTTCTCTAAAGAGGATATTAATAACAGCGAAGAGCCTCGTTAGCATCACTTCACTAGTGTTTCTGGCAGTAGTTAGTACGCATCATTCTTCACTTATTATAATTATTTATGTAGGTTTTTTAACAAGCAGAAACTTTTGAGCTACTGGTTCTATTACTCGTGACGATGCCAGTCCAATGTTTAGTACAGTAAGGGCAAAGAGTACTATTTACACTTGTCAAACGTGACTGCAAGGCATGCTGACATCAGTAACTCAAAAATTTCTCGAAAATTTCTCAAAATCATTACTTGTTATTGAAATAGTTCACCTCATTTAAAAAAGCGAACAGAAAACTGCAAAAAGAAAAACACAAATATCTCATACTTTTCTCCGAGATTTTGGATTTTTAGAGTGGATAGGTCGACCTCCTTGTCTGTTTCGAACTCGTTCCATTCCTCATCCTCCTGCAAAGAAAAACAAGAATTAATATAAAGAGTATAGAAAGAGGTACACAATGAAATTACATTATAATGAGTGGCACTAAAAAATGGTCTTCATTTACTAGGCAATTTAAAACGTGCTACTTTTCAAAAAAATGAATACGTACATATTTCACAATTGTTATACATTATACCTCTGTCATCAAAGATCTTCTCATTTCTTGAGTTCTCCCTACCCCCCTTAAAAAATGTTTACGTTTAAATAAATGAGATAGCTGTCCTATTTTCTGTAAGCCTGTTCATATAGTTAACATTAGTATTAGGTTTGTTTAGATATTGGAAGCGTACGTTTTTATTTGAGCATAACAGAGCGATCGCAATGCTCACCTTTGAAGAAAAAACGTTATTACTATAAGACCGATAACTAGAGCGCAACTGCTCTACCTAAAATATGGCATATAAAAATACTGATGAAAAATTCTGGGCCTTAAAATTATGATCGTTCTAAATCCAACGAATAAAAGCTGACAAATACGCAAGATCATAGAAAGAAGATGCAACAAGTGGTAGACCCAACAGCTTTGAATCGTAAACTGAGCGCTGACTATCAAAAAATCCAAAGCGAGCAAATCTGATCTCCTTAAAATTAGAGAAAGATTATTCAAATTATAGACAGAAATATCGCTAATCAAAAGTCAATTAAAAAATCCCTAATTCAGTTTTGTTTATTTTTTGAATAACTTAACAAAGTGCCATTCTGAGCCACTCATTATTCAGACTAGCCTAAAACAATTTTAGCATAAAACTTGCTTGCATATTGCGCAGACATGCTACACAATAGCCTTTTTGACGCCTCTACATCCAAAATGATTACAGCGAACCGGTATAGAGGTTTTCCAATTAAACATCCCTTTTAAACTTAACTGGATGAAATCAAATTCAAGTGACCAAGAAAAATAAAAAAATAATAGTTTTGTAAGAAGTGGTAACATTACCTCTTGATTATAAGCAATGATTTCGTTATTATGCCAAAGCTACTAATTAGAGCACAGTATTTAAATATACGGATCCAAAAGGTGCTTTTGTGTAAGCATTAATTTTTAGAATTCAACAAACCTTTCCAGAGTTGGGAAGACTGAGCGCGATACTTTTTGGAGTATTCTTTGTATCGCCGTTGCTGTCATAGCCAGGATCTGCCAATCCTTGGGTGTCCTGTGGCCATCAAGATACACCAACAGACGTCCGGGAGAAGATTGGGTGGAGGGGATTGTAGAAAGACAAACGATGACATACACGTGCGAACCGTACGAAAGCAGATCCATCACCATTTCAGGTGTAACCAAGTCAACATCATTTGCGTAAAAAGAAAAAGGTTTAGTTAGTGTGTTACTATCACAAAACATCGTAATTATAGGCCGGGTGGCTGCCCACGTTCATGAAGTTAAAAAGTCATAAATCTTGCACCCCAGTTAATGAGCAAATTAACGCAGTGTTGTACATACATATAAACACTGAGACAAGGTATGAAAGCAGCATAAAGCGAATATGCTGTGACAGCCGTAACAAAATGTCCCTTCGAGAAGTCTTACTAACAAAATCTCAGATACTTAAAACATATGGGCCATATTTCCGTTGGCCATAAGTTCGTCGGATATATTTCATATGGATATGACTCGGATTTTACAGGCGTTGAGCTTCAAACTAATAAGCCAAAAATACAGAGTAATTTACGCGCTCTTCGCTTCCAAAATTGATTTCGTAATATTAGTGCATAAAATGACTAATAATTATTGGGAAAAACGCAAGCCGGTTCATACCTATATTATGAGAACAATATCTCCTTGTAAAACCCAGCATGATAAAGTTGGATCGTAAGCACAATAGACTAAACTATTCCGATCAGATTATATGCAACAGGGCACTAAAGGTTCGCACGGTTATATCTCATTTCGATATCATTGTTATGCCAATTTTGGATAAAGCAAATATCTAAACCAGTTCGTCATTTACGTATTTGAGTAAGGCACTGAATATAATTTTGCTTCTAACCATGCTTTTCACTAATAATTATCTGTGTCTATTTTGGATTAATGAGGTATGAAAAACTCCATTAGAAGCAATTATGCGCACAGTCTCCTTTTGAGAAAGACTACCTTACAGGAGTCGTTTGCATGAATCTATGTGGGATCGAGGCCTCACTGAACTTTCTATTTTCGATTTGTACAGGACATAAAAGGAAATTGTGCACAGGCTCCGCCTTTTCAAGATTTCTGGAAAATTTTTACGCAACCTTATGGGAATCGAATGTAATTTCGAGGGTTACTAATCAAGCCTTCGATACCATCTAAGTCGAAGTTTTTCTTAATAAATATTATGTTTTTAATTAGCACTGTACGCCAGTTACTGAATATTCCAGGCAAATTTTGACGTCCTCGAAATTCATTAATGAAATTTATTTTCTTCTTGATCCGGAATGCACTAAATGGTCTAAATATTTGCAAAAAAAAAATACTTCATAAAAAAGTAAGACATATTGCACGGACGTTGAGTAGGAAGTGTGATTTGAACCTGCCAAACTTCTCTCCTAATAACGATTTAACACTGAAGTATTAATTGCCCTTAGCACGCGAACTGAATGACGTTATGCGATGTTAGGACAACTCGTTAACATTAACACGCACGCGCCATAGAACAATCGAAATATTTTAGCTCCTTAAATCGGCAGCGAAAAAGTCGAAGAACGGCAGTACAATCTACATAATGTTTCTGAAATTGTCGTGAAAACAAACCGACCACCTGACTTCAGTTACGGTATTACGCATAAAAAAGCTCTTTACAAACGTAATACTTCCTAAGTTGGTCTCGTCCAAATAAAACAGTGCTATAAATCATTCGTACAAAATGCTTGAAGAATGAAGAACCTTAAAAAGAGGAGCTTGTTCACTAAATTACTTGGCACTTTTTTGCGTACTTTCACAACTACACCTACGTCAATCACATATTTTTGATCTATGATGCGATTTGAATGTTCTAACTTCGAATTCTTCACCAGAATATTGTACACTTATGTTGGGTTTCCAACATTTTGATAAATTAATTCATATAATTAATATAATTAGCGACCTGAGTATATAAAGACAGGATATCCAGTTGCACGGAAACAATCACCAAAGTGGCGGACAAATCAATATACTTAACCAATTCAAAGAAGTACTACTATAATAAAGCTATATGGTAAAACTTTACTCATATAATTAGCATTTTGAAACGTTTGGTTAAATGAATATAGCTTTGTTAGAATGTACCATCGGGATACAAGTTCAAAAAGCACGAGACTTTGTGATACGTTTTGAGTATCACCTCATTTTGGGCTCTTTTTTTTCTTCGCTCATATCCTAAGCAGCCTTCAACATATACAAAAAAAAACTACTTCGATCGTGACAATTCAGAACTTCAAGGCACTTGTCCAGAGCACCTGTATTTTGGCTAATAAGAAACGCGATTATAAATAATTGGGGGATTTGTCTAAATAAATTATAATTATGATTTTTTGTGTTTACTAATTATATATGTTATCAAAATTAAACTAAATCTAGTCATACTGAAAAGCTGTCAGGCAGCCACAATGTATGGTTTATGTTATAGGCTTACTGATGACAACGCTGAATTTTATTTGGATCCAAGTCATAATACTTCGTGTGTTTGGATACTGACTGCCGGCTAATCTGTTTTTTTCGAATAGTAGCAGAAACTGCTAACGATTAAAGCGACTTTTAAAGTGCTGCATTGTTAAAGCACCGTAAGGCAATTGGAATAAATAAAAAAGAACTTTTTTACACTAGCTTAATCATGTTAGCATCCATTGTTTCCCAGCGAACGTTTGATAACAAAGCTAGTTAATGCCATACGGTGCTCGCTGGTAAACAGGGAATATCGGGCAGAGTACATCGATGAGATCTAATCATGTGGTAAGCATATGGTAGTGCAGACAGCAAACATTTCATTACCATTCTGTTGTTGGAAACTCAAACCACTGAAACATTATGAAAAATGTCATATGTCAATTGTTTTAGGCGAATTTATGCCAGTGTTCAAAATAAATTCTCTACATAAAATCTGCTGCACAACGAGGCAATATACAGGCATTTCTGCTCTACCATAAGGTTGTACTACCTTGGAGGTCGTATGTGTATCGCAGTAGTTGAAACTACAACCCAGACCCGAACGTTCACGAAAGCATGTCAGAACAGTTAATGGGTTCTGCGGTATTCAGTTCCGTTCTATTGTAAATGCTGAACAAAGAGATTACGATTATATCTAAAAACATATGGATGTATTCCATAGACAGCTGTATATTAGTTGATCGTGGCGTTCAACAGGTCGCTGCTGTCCTTTCCTAATAAAATGCGATCCCAACCTTTCACTAGCTTTAAACTGCCGTTAGAAAGCATGGTTGTGCGAGAAAAAATTGTGACCTCAAACCGATATGCACGCGACACCACAACACTCATAATAATGATCTCGTAGCTCTGAACGGGCTGGCTAAAGACTACCAACATCTACCGTGATTTCGAGATCTAAATACGTCTATAGGCCAATAAAGAACGGGAGTGTATAATATTTAGTACGGATTCTCTTCGTACTAGTCACCACTGCCACCTTTACGGTCTCATGATGGATGTCGGACACTAAACAAGACAAACACGCCGCAAAAGGCGACACGATCACAGCAGTAGCACTAAAGGAACACGCAGATTCGTAGTTACATGCATCAATCAATTGGCGTGAACAATAAATAACGCTCACAACACAAACGATATGCTAGAGCTAGTCTTGCATTAATTATTATCTACTGGTAAAATGAAGAAGCTATTTTTCTTCTACCAGTTTGCTGAATAACCCTACACTAACTCCTACCAAATTCGTCGAATTGCTTTCCATTAAACGTTGCCGAACGAAATAACGTTGGGGCCATAATATGACCACGCTGCCGCTTATTCATTTAATTGCTTTTAAAGAACGTTTAATATTTAGTAAAGATATGAGCATAAGGGCTCAATGATTCAAAGCACCGGTTCAACCATGTCAACCCGATCGTATGACCGAATTAATCCACTATAGCTCCTCCGTTTACAATAACTGTTATGGCAGACATTTATTAAAGCAGCTCGAATGAACGCTAAAATCAACTATACCTCTTTGGATAGGTCGCTAACATACGTTTTCTAATTTTATTATGTTGCACGCGTTCCGTGGCCACGAGATATGATATCAACGACTCATAATCGCCGATACATTCGATTAAATTTACACTCGTTCTGCTAAGCGATACGTAGAACTTTGTCACGTCATTAGAAACCGCAACACTGTCCAAGTTTTAAATTCGATTGCAGATCAACTAAACAACGACGAGCTTTCCCTAGACACAAAATGGACCACTACTTATTGGCGATTATTATACCTACAAATTCAACAGATGCAGTTACGATTTAAAGTGAATCACTGCAAAGTGTCCCACACCTCAGACTGTCCGATGCATGTTCGATTGTGTATTGTATTTGTATATGGTGCTGCGAGTATGCATGACGTACCTGTTCGATTTTCTTCATGAGGTCATCGGGCGTAAACGTTTCGGGCTTCTTCGACTTCTTTTTTTTATCCTTCTTGGCAAAAAAGCTTTGGAGGTCCGCCATGCTTGCACGATACGAGTGAGCGAACCCGAACGAAGACTGCTGCTGTTGCGGCGGCGGCGGCCGCTGTAGCTGTCGCGCGCGTATCAACCGAAGTCGTAGAAACCCGTAGGAGGTATTCGAGATTGGGCGAGGCAATCGCTGATCGAAAGATTAGGAAAAGATGGATTCACGCTCGAACGACTTAACAATCGAACGATTATTAGGTATTAGATAGCTCTGTGCTATTCGTCCGTCGTAACAACTGTACAACTATTCCACCAGCTCTTAGCCCAACTACTATAACCAACTATGTAGCACTGATATCCGCAGCAGCACCAACCCAGTCGTAACACAACGTGTGTGAAAGAAGGCAGAAGGCAGACTGGCACTCGCTAGTTGCAGCTGCTGCTGTTGTTGTTGTGCTGCTGCTGCTGCCAAAAGTAGGCAAGCACAATAGCATACGCTTGACGGGCGGGTTCGCTGGCTGGCAGACCGCAGAGCCGAGCAGCAGGCGAGCGAACGATCAACCGACCGATCGACCCACAACCGATCGCGGAACAGTTGCTGTGAAAACACACAAACGGCACTACTACGACGACGATGACGACGACGACGATGATGATGACAACGACAACGACGACGACGGCGGCGCCGGCGGCGGCGGCGGCTGCTGCTGGCAACAACAACGGCACGCTACAGCACAACGAAACTCAACAGTCGAGACAGGAAAAAAATTGTGGAGCCAATGCTTTTGTAGCGGAAGGGAATAGTAGTGACAGTTCTGAGTAACACCTATCGTCAGAAGCAGACGACGACAAAAACATAAACAGACATGCAGACAGCCGATGGACAATATAAACACTCGCAGTGATAGTAAGAGCGGCAGTAATGCCAGCAGCGGGCGGATGGCTGTATCTGCTCAACAGTTATGGGCAGCAGAATACGATCGTCCTCGCCTTACTTTTCTTGTTCGTCCGCCGAATAATGGAGCGGCTCGATTGGTCGGAAGGGCTACTAATGGTTGGGCCAGGGCAGGCAGGCAGACAGGACCTCACAGCTAATACAAAACATCTTTTATTTCACTTTTGTCGCGTCTCTTGTATTTTTCGGAGGACATCTAAACTGAGACTATGAAATTAATACGAAATATCATTATCGTTTAAACGCGGTGCCAACTACTGCTTCGATCTTAAGCGATAAAAACAACAGTCGAATGAAAGAAGCCCGCGACGAGTGTGAAACTCATTTATTGTCTATAATAAATACGAAAAACATAATTTAGAAACGTTGAAGTTTGTTTTGGACAACAAGTTTGTTTGATTATTATTACGAGCACACTATAGACAGAAATTTGTAGCCAATATTTCATAGATGTTCTCAGAAAAAAAAAGTTAAGACTAAATTATTTCTATGGGCATAAGCAAAATCTATTTATAAATATTTGAAAAAGATATGAATAACACTTAAGCATTATAAGCGTATGTCGCTTCAATAAAAGTAATGTTTGCTAAAAATCGCACGTATATTTTTTAATTTTTTTTTCTAATTGTGCACAAATTGTTCAAACTGATGAAAGTCTGAAAAGAAATTATTTGAATGGGATCCACGTTTACATTTTTATACAAAAGCTTTTAGTAACACGGTAATAACACGGTAACTATACATTTGGCTGGCCCACATCCGTAGGTAAATAATGAATGCAAAATCTTCAAGTAATTTCTCGCAATCGTTCATCAAAATATAAGACGTGTCCATGGCCAGTTTGACGTCTAAAGCATTTCTGTGTACTTTCGACCAGTTGACAAACTCGTTATTACTGTGCTATGGTGGGACACACGAAATATAAAAGGAACATTCGTTTTTTTTTTACCTTAAACAGTTTTCATATAGAAAAACTATCAGTTTTTTTACTATCAGTTTGATTCGAATTTCGATCTAATTTTTACAGATTCAGTTTTTAGACATTTGGGCAACAATATCGATAAATGTGTCAAGTAAAAGTAGATGAGTTGAAAATTAATTGTTAAAAATCACTAATTTCGAGGGGTTTATCATGACTGAAAAAGGAGCTAAATCGACATTGAGCTTTTTTGTTGCGGAAAAATTTCAACAGTAAACATAGATTGTCATTATAGAACCCTAGTGGCTCTGCTCAACCATTCGGTATCTGCTCCTCTCTTTACCCTCTATATCGGCCTTTTCTTAGAAATCATTAATTGTATCTAGAAAAAGGTGACAAGGAGAAAGATGAATAAAACAAACTATAATTAACCTAAACTCGGCACAGCCTTTTTAAACGAGGTCATAATGCATTGCGTTGACCAGACGTTAGTGTCTATAAGATATGTGTCCGGTGCTATAAGATTCTCGTTTATTTAACCCTGTAGCCAGTTGCCTGGTGCTTTTTTTTTTGGAAGTTCCTAATATTACTTCAAGCCAAAGCTCGGAGAGGTGATTGGCAATGAATTAGTAGATACAATGAGGTGTTAGCGCGAGCCCACGCTACTCTCTTTGTTGATCAAGATCTTCTGCCCGTATATGACTAAAAGAATGTGAAATTGTGTCAATTATAGTATTTGTTATCACTTGAGATTATTTATTTATTTCTTTGTTGTTGCCCTGAAAAATACCGATGCATTATAAACTAAAAATAATAATTATTGTTTTATTAGGTTCTACATATGATGTCAAAAAATTCCCAGTTGCAACTCTTTCCAAAGGGTTCTAGATGTGCATAGCGTCATTTACTTGAAGAAGGATACAACGATGAACGATATTTTGCATGCTAAAAATAATCGTTTGCTTTCGAATAGAACAAAAAATGGCTTTTTTTATGTTTACGGAATTACCAGAATCGAGACATATCGGTTTGACTTTGTATAGCTGTTGCCATTATTAATAACATATTCTTAGTAGGGGGTGAATCTTTTGAAAGTTAAATAGACACTTGGAGTTTTTGTTGTCATCCTTCGATCCCTTAGAGATCGGGCAATCAACAATATATAGTCATAATAATAAAATAAAATGTAATGACAAAGTACCTAAAGTATTACGTTTTTTTGCCATTGAATGTTTGGTTTGGTCTTTTTCGGTTGACGGATGGCCCAGTAGGTTAGGGCTAGCCAAAAATCATTATTGTTTTATAATCACAATCCACATTTATCGATAGCTTCTTTTTATCGTTTCATGCTGTTGTTGTTGTTGTTGTTGCTGCTGCTGCTGCTGCTGCTGCTGTTGTCGTCGTTTCCGCCGCTATTTTCTCTCCCTTTTTCATCTTCTTTTTTACTGACGTACGGATTTTGTACCACTCGTATCTGGAGTAAAAAGATGGCAAAATCTCTTGCGAAAGAGAAAGAACAACAACTCTAGAAGCGTTGAGATGATTTGTGCGGGTGGATGGGTTTTCTCTCTCTGTCTGCTGTCTAATTTTGTGTCGCCCGATGTATTAGCTCGTGTGTGGGTCTAGGGTGATCTTTTGGTCGGAAGTTGTCAGACAAACGCTCGGACTGACAGACGGAAGCCGTCGTCGTCGACATCGCTGGCTCGCCTCTGTATCTACTTGTGTGTGTGCGTGTCTGCACTCTGCAAGCAATGCCCGGTACTGCTGTGCGTCGCGGCGCAGCGCGGCCTATCGTAGCGGCTATTGGGTATTGGTGCTGACTGTAGTTGACTGGTCGATGAATGTGTAGCTAAATCCCGCTGCCGCCACCGCCCGGAGTGGGTAGGCTCTACCGTCCGCCTGCCTGCTCACCCGCTCGTGTCGCGGTGCGGCAGCACGGTGTCGTCGGCAACACCAGACACAGTCACCGTTTACATCGTGCATAGTACCAGTGGTGCTATCTGTAATAGTGGTGTCGAAGTGTGTGTGGGTCTTTCTGTGGTGTTGTCCTGCTATCGGCCTGTCGTCGCCCACTGGTTGGCTGACTGACTGCTGGTTACCTCTGAGTGGTGCCGCTGGTGCTGTTGCTGCTGCTGATGCTGCTGCTTTGTATAGTGGCGATGGTAGCTCTATAACTGCTGCGACTAGTCCCGCTGCTGGGTGGATGGTTGCGATGGTGATGTGATGTTCGTGAAGACGATCGTCGTCGTCGTCGTCGTCGTCGTCGTCATCGTCGTCGTCGTCGTCGTCGTCGTCGTCGTCGTCGTCGTCGTCGTCGTCGTCGTGGTAGAACTGTTCGCTGGTGGATGACCGTAGATATCTGTATGATGGTGTTGCTGATACTATTGCAATTGCTACTAGATGGATAGGGGTGGCGGTGGTGGTGGTGGTGCTGCTGCTGCTGCTGCTGTTGTTGTACTCGATTGACGACAAAATCACATTCAAACACGTTGACCCGCACACGTATACGAACAGGCAGAGAGGCACTGTCCTCACTTTGAGCCGCTGTCGTCGCTACGAGAGGAAGTGGCAATAACGGTGATCTGTACTCATGCTGATGCTACTGCCGCTAACTTCAACAACTATCTGAAGTGGAGACGACGGTAAGAAGTGGTACGAAGTCGACGAAAAAAATCAACCAGACGCATATACGAACACGCGGGACAATAAGGAAGCACTACGGCAGGCTGGCAGACTGGCTAGCTTTTTGCAATTTCTAGCCTAAGTGAATCCGTGGCCCTACTCTGGTCGATCGGTTCTTCTGGTAGGAGGATACAGGCTTGGACTCTCTTGGTCTTCCATCAGGGTCAAGAATACCATTGGAAACGACCCACAGACACTTTTATAAAGCGGCTATTGAAAAACAACGACATCCATCGCTGGGTTGTCGTTGACAGATTCAGTCCAGATACAAGACAACCAAGAAGAGTACTGACTATTAAAGCAAAGTGTCCTGGAAGCCGTCAGTTACGCTTCTGTCGACCGGTCGATCTGTTCTGCAGTTGTTGCCCTGTTTTGATTTGACCTGTCTTACTGGGACCTGTCAGGAAGTCCAGTTTGTAGATGCTATCACAATTATCGACGGGGTAAAACTGCAGGTGAAGTGATGAAAGAACGAGTGGAGAAACAATAGGAAACGGCCCCAAAGAAATAACAAGGATGCATTTTTCTGTAGCTACCTACCTAGCAAATATTATTAAGAAGAGGAACAATTGCCGACTCACGCAGACGGATATCTACGAGTAGATGGACAAAAAAAAAACAAAGCTTCAGCGTTAATTATAAGTACATATATGAAAAGGCGAATAGTTACTCAATAGCATATTGATTTGTTACCAGCCCAGCCTAATTCTGTCGATCTCCTGTTTCGACCCAACTTAATGTTAATGTTATTTCCAGCGGTGTGAGTGTCACCGTTCAAGTATCGTTCGGCATCGATGATCAATGCTGTCCTCTCTTTTAGAGGGTGGTCAGTTATACACAGCAGCCAAAAACTACTTCGATTTCTACAGATACAGTATTTAATAACTGTACAACCACTACGAGGACACATGTACCGTGTCTAGCACCTCATAGCGAGGCGGTAGTTTGTTCCAAAACGTAATGGCAATCATTTTGGTTGCGGTTTTATGGCGGTGGCAGATGTATCCCTGGGTGGCGTGAGCACCCTTATATTCTGAGACGGAAGGACGGTCGGAGGGACGAACGAACAGAGAAGTCAAGAGACCCCCCCCCCCCCCAGGTCAAGATACCTGTACGCGCAGACCGGCAAACAGATCCGAACGCAGACAAAAAGGCTGACTTGGTACATTACGTTCGTCAGCAAACCGCTGTCTTTGTGTACCAATCAAGTACGTGAGGATTACGGCTACGATTGAGAAGCAGCATTGTTGTTCACGGTGTACAGTTTTTTACCGTTCGGCGCGTTCACGTCCTATGCGACCCTTTCTACGAGGATATAGCCACACACGCACGTACAATTATTTCGTTCATTCGCCAGTGGAGCGTCGCCGGTATAATGTGAATTCATGTTTGTGTGCATGGATGCAAAAGTTATATAGAAAGGAATACGAACAAAGACCTAACAGGGAGCTCAAGATCGGACAAAGATCCCAAAACAGGAATGTTGAATTAAACGAAACGGAAGCATTATTGTCTTACGTCTATATTCTAGCTCCGCTGTTCCAAGCATCTCAGAAAGAAACGAAGTAACTGCACAATTTCGAGGTTGTCTTTTTCCTGAGAGAGGTGTGTATTCATGTGAAAAAAGTGCTATTAACGTTGTTGCTGTTTTTGTCGCTGTTGCTTCTCGTGGTCGTGGCAGCAGCGGCAAAGATTCTATTGTGTTGGAGCAATAGGACAACGCTAGAAGAAACGCAGGTGGTGGTCGCTCAGGCCTTTGAGAGGCCACCGATGGCCCGGCAGGCTGCGATTGCTGTTGTGACTTGTGTTGCTGCTGCTCTTGACGCCGCTTGTATTGGCGTTTCTGTTGCTGCAGCCGTCGGCGTACAACAATTACTGGCACCTTCGGCAGACACAGTGGCATTCCCTTGGTTAGTCCCACCGCTTATGCTGACGCACAAGCAGCTGTGCTGTTACATCAACTGCTTGTCGCTAATGAACTACTAAACAACTTGCGAGTTCTCTGTTTGACCGACTGATCAAGCAACGAAGCGACCGAGGGACTTGCAGACAGATCAGTCGTTTGCGGCTGGGTGGCTTCTCAGTTGTTTGAGGCGCACCCGGGGCTGTCCTACCCAACTAGAGCTATCCACAATCATAGCAGGTCGGTTAGCCCCCAGTAGGTGCCCCCCGTACGCAGTCGGTGAACTAGACTCAACGTTACAAAAGCTGATACTATTGTCAATCAGTCTATGTATGCCCATTTTCACCGAAACGTCTCTCTTTCCAGTACCTAAAAACCAGCCAACAAATCTCCGTACCCTGCAAGCATATCCACGTTAGTAATAGTGCTCCGAGGTACGGTCCTTCTTGGCCAGAACACGTCCTGACGCTGGTTGTATCCGCAATCACCTGACGATAAAAAGCCCGGTGCTTTTAGACAAAAGAGTAGTCTGATGAGAGTGGTCGGCGCGTATGTGTGTGCGTGTTCATAGAGGAGCTGGAGTAGCTACACCAAAAATTACAACATCAACAACACTTTTAGCAACAGGAACGAAGAAAGCTACATTGTAATTATCAACAACAATAGCAGCGATTCGAACAACTTATTACTGTTGCCACTTATAATTGTTAACGTCGATAAAATATATCAACGGTGTCAGCCAGCAGACGAGTTCGGCGTCGTCAAATCAAACGAACGACCCAGCGTTGTTGTTGCTGCTGCTGCTGCTGTTGTTGTTGCTGTTGTTGTTGTCGTCGTCGTCGTCGTCGTCGTCGTGATCGCCGTCGTTGTTGTTCTTGTTGTTGTTTATTGCTGTTGTTGTTGTTGTTACTTTCTGCTGCGGAACGTTCTGGCTCTCATTATACAAACACACACTCACCCACCATTCAATTCCTAGTACTACGCCGTCGACCGTTTTACACGCTACGCGACATTCGGCCAGTATCGCGATCACCGACCTCTTCTCTTCTATGTACTCGTGAGTGCAGTGCGTGAGTGCGTCTGGTGTTACGTGAATAAAGGAGTCGTACCGGTAGTAGTCAGTCGGCGGTGGGAAAAGGCAGCAGATACGAGCAAATCAGCGGTTGCGGTGGTAACAAAATCATCATCGCCAACAGCAACAGCGGCATCAGCATTGTCTGCAACGTTGTTGTTGTTGTTGTTGTTGTGGTGGTGGTTGTCGTCGTTCGTCTGTGACCATCGGTGCTGTATAGTTGTCGCACCAGTGTCGCATGTTGGCAGTCGTGGTAATAGAAGGCATTAGTAGATAGGCGGTCAGAAGACACCAACCGGCGCTGCTTGGACAGTGTCTCTCCTTGCAGTCGTCATCTCTCTTTCTGCTGCTGCGATTTCTCATCATCATCATCATCATCAACAGCAGCAGCCGCTGCTGCTGCGGCGGCGGCGGCGGTCCTGTGCATTCTAGTTGCCGCCCCTGCTACAGCCGCTTTTGTTGTTGCTTCGGCGTTGTCCCGCATAGCCGTCGTCGTTGTCATCATTGTCGCCGTCGCCGTTGACGACGACGTTCTCTTTGGTTGCGGTGCCGACCCGGCCCGGCCTGACCTGACCTGTACTGTCCTGCTGCCAGGTCCGGTCGCGCCTGCTACCACGCGGGCAAGCGCATACAAACACGCCGAGAGGTAGACAAAGCAAGGAAAGAAGCAAGAGACAAACAGACGGCGCACTATATCGCCGTTCGTCTGTCCACTCGCTCTCAGCTGATCGCATTGGCTGCAATAGTGCCGCTGCTAGTAATATTTGGCGGCGATCGTGCTTTTGTTGTTGCTGCTAGTGGCAATTTGCGGCAGTGGCGATAGAGATTATTGTCGCCTGTTTGGTTTGTCCGTTCGGTCAACGGTTCCGTCGTTATCTACACTGCTATTGCTAATGCAGCTGCTGCTGCTGCTGCCGCCGCCACCGCCTTTGTTGTCGTCGTCGTATTATCGTAATAGTAATCAACAACAACAACAAGTACAGCAGCAACGGGTACTGCCACTGGTGCTGCCGTTTGTTGCTGTTTGTTGCGCGTTTGTCCCCGCTCGACGATAGCAGCTAAGGCGGTAGTAGACATTAGGTGATCGTGTTCCGTGCGAAAGTGTGATACCCCCACCGATTCATCTACCACTAACGATATAACAACGGCAACGGCAGCGTCTACAGCTGCAACTGTTAACGATAATTGGCACCAGCCAACTGGCGCTACGGTAGAAATCAGTGGAGCTGGAGGTACCTCTGCTGCTACTGCTGCTGCCGCCGCCGCCGCCGGTCGGCAGCGCTTAGTTGTCTGGGGGGGGGATCTTCACGTGTCGATCATCGTGTCTTTGTGTGTTTTGTCCTGCAAATGGTCATTGTTGCAAAAGTAACGCAGTGATCCTACTAGTTTATAGACATAATAATAATAGCTATAGTAGTGATACCGTTCCTCGTGTCGCTCAAGAGTAGGACAACTGGATAAGAAGAAAAAAGCAGGTGGTGAAGAAGGAGGAGAAGGAGAGAAAAAGGAACGGTGAAGTGGTTGATGTTCTCTTGGTTCTCGAGTGCGGGAGCAATCGTTCTCCTGAAACGGGACATTGATTAATAGGTTCGTGCAATCGTGCGTTTGGCCTCCGCCGAGTCGTCCCAAGGGAGAGGAATATTTCACCCCGACGCAGTATCAAAAGACGAAGACAACAAAGAAATACATTTCGTCAATGACGTCAGGGTCGTCGTGATCGTGGTAAATTTTTGAGAAGTGCCGCCACCGCAGACTCCTTAGACGAGAGACAGGTCGCCTGTTCTTGTTGCTGTTCGCCAGTCTGGTGAAGTGTTTCTTGAGGTGTGAGTGGCGACCATCACGGCAACTACGGCGACAAAATGCAGAAGGACGATACCAACAAAGAAGATGGAAAGCGATCGATGCCTGCTGGTGCCGGCGGTGGAGGCTCGACTGCCCGCAGTAAACAAAGTAATGTTGTCCCACAGACCCGCACATCAACCGGGGGCTCAAACGGTTCCCAGAGCGTACTCATGGTCGGACCCAACTTCAAAGTGGGCAAGAAGATTGGCTGTGGAAACTTTGGTGAGCTACGACTCGGTAAGTAAATGGCGTAAGCGAAATACATAATCATCCCTTTGTTATCCTCTCTCCATTTATCTGTCCATTGATATCCATTAATGTATATTTGAACTTCTACTACGTGGGTATACCATTGCCTTCTCTGTGCAGCCGAAACGTCATACAAACATCATAAAAAGGTAAACACAACGCACAATATTTTGTATCAGTCTTATGTCGTGAAAGTTCGTCGGCCGGCCGACTTTGAACCTAGATTTGCTAATTGCGTAGCGGCGTTCTTCAGTTGTGTATGTTGAGCGAGTGGCAGTTGTTTGTCAAACGTGCTGATTTCGGTAGCGTGTCTTCTGTGCAGAACCCTATGAGGACTAAGGGAATACCTACTGAATGGCTGTCTGCCGTTTGTATCAAAATCAGGAGCTATAAGCCTGAAACTGGTCATACTGGCTTATGCGAAGTGTAAGATAGAGTAGCGAAGTCTGTAATTCAGCTGAAAACGGTGGAGCTCCTCTGAGACCATGAACATGTTTGGTAAAGCCGGATACGCGCGCTAGTGTACTGTTCTCGCATTTTTCTGTCACCACATAGTAAAACAGGCTGAAAAACAGGACGGAACAAAGGTGTGACGTAATAGTTAAGGTAGCGACGTGAGAGTAACAATATAGTAATAAAAAGAACAACTGGCAAGCTGTAACATCGTTCGCCTAAAGAGGTCTAAGCGGGGGAAATACTACTGAGTAACCCAAAGGGATAAACTGAATCGCCACACAGTATATCCTCTGCGTATGATATTGCTGTTAGCTAAGTAATAAGAGCAGCTCTTCCCTAATCGCAGGGAACCGCTGTTGCAGCGAACAAGCTGGTATCCTGTGTCTTGTGCTGCCTGTATCTATGTGTTTTGTGTGCGCGCGTGTGCGTGGTATTCTCGAGAATGTATTGACTTCCTTTTCACTAGGTTTCTGTGCCCCGCCGTCATCCGTATCTCTTTTATTGCCGCTATTGCTACTGCATAATGGCTAAAGTGCAGTCCGATGTTCCAGAAACGTTAGACACCAGTGTGTCATCACTGCCGATTCCTAAACTGCCGCTTACTCCTTTTTGATAGATAGGCAGGCGATCAGCTGTCATCATTACGAAATCTAGTGAAAGCTTGAATTAACCACAGAGTCCAGAATCGAGATATTCTAGTTGACAAGATTTTAAGGTTTGTGTTTTCCTAAGCTGACCACTCATATCTGGTGCTGCTGTTAACAGGTTGGAGTTGTTGGTTGTTCCTATCGATATTTCTGTACTTCAAATTATTATAATGGTAATGGAATAGACTTTATTTCGTCGAATCTTTTGTCCTGCTTTTTGTGTAAACTCGACCGGCCAGTAACATCAGCAGTACTGATAATTATCGAATCGATCAAGGTCAGGCTGCTGTGATATGCTACACATCGATACGATGCTTAATAAAAAAGATATTTTCTAAGTAGAAACTGCATTGTGGCATCTACCGTTAGGGAAAGATGTTACAGCATGGGCTGTACCCAGCATCTTTTTATGGCTCTGTCTTAAGTGTTTACAATGTGGATGGCTTCTTACTCATCGAACAACGTGCACTGAATTGCGGTACGGCCCGTCTAAGGCGATGTGCATGTGTGTTTGTGTGTTTGCCTGTCTGGCTGCCGCAGGTGGCTGTGGCAACGCCAATTTTTGGAATACATCGCTGATGTCACTGTTGCTATCTCTGATTGTTTCATACTACTGCTGCTGCCGCTGCCGCTGCGTGCAGTGTGTAGCTCTGCGTGAGTATCCGCACGTCGAGTGGCTCTGAGTCACAGTAGAAAAGACGAGAGGGTGTAGAACGTATGAGAAGCCCGAGAGATATGAGTCACACAGCTTGGCTGCAACGGGAATGAATCGCGTTTAAATGGCGAACCAACATCGACCAATCAATCAATCAATCAGGCTCGCGGTAGACAGGCAGTAACCACAGTGAAATGAGCAGCCATTGGGTTAGCAAGCATGAAAACAAAGTGCGCACAAATGCTATTGACGTCGTTTAGGTTGTCGTTACAGTTGTTGCTTAGGTTAGTGATCGGCTGATGGATGATTGACCATAGGTTGTTCCCGCTGCCCCTCCTGAACCACTTAATTCTATCTAAAGCTGCCACTGATCGACTATTTCCGGGGTTTCTAGAGACCACTAATTTTTATACTTTTAGGTAGCATTTAACCAACTCCTAGCGGCTGATACCATGTAACAGTTCTAGCTACATCTAAGATGTTATATTATTCTTATTAACGAGCTTTTCTGCGGCCCTTTCCACAACCCCGTCATCTTTCCGCTAAATGTTTCCCTTGCTATACAAAACGCTATTATGGCTTACATATATACATACATGTGCAAACAGGCCAAAGACCAAAGAGTTGCTCGGTGTTTCTTAACATAATAGTGTACTTTGTACTAACTTGACTTAAAGCTATTGCTATACAATCGCAATATCGTCTCTAAATTGTGTATTACGTTATTTATTTTTATAAATTTCGCTTATTCGAAGCTATTGATGGACATTCATCAAGGAACGCCGGTACTCCTGTTGGTAATGAATGGCAACCTTGATCATGATTTATTCAAACTCATATACGCTATATATTATATCCGTTGGTGCGTAATTAGTGTAGCTGGGTTTACTGTGTCCCTAAGGCAGACGTCAGAGCCTTTGTGTAGGTTACACATCGTTGGATTGAGCCTTTGTTTAGATTATTCGAATTATAATAAGCGAAGGCCATCGGTCGCATTTAAGATACATCATCTAGAGTTAATCACGAAATCTGTAAGGTTCCGTGATTAACTCTACTAAGTTTTTTTTTTCACTAAGCTTTTACTCAAAATAGAAATAACAAACTACCGTTGGATCTATTGCCGTCATCCGGCATTTATTAAAGGAACAAGTAATTTCCCCTCTAACTTTCGGTAAATCTGGGTTCGAAATTCACAGGAACGATTTGCTGTTTGGCCTAGTTAAATGTTACAAGCTGGCTATATAAGTGTTCCTTTCTCTAGTAGCTAGTAACTTACGACAAGTGATTAGTAGCAAGAGACCTAAAAACTAGTGTCGGTTATTTTTACTTGAAAAGGGCCATCGAATTCTAATATTTGAGCTTTTTTATTTCAAAATGATTTTAATCGAAATGTCTTTTCGTGTTATCCTGCTCCGCGTCTCGTGCATCAGACTTCTCACAATCGTCTAAAATTATGTTATTTTCTACGCGAATATAACTTTTGTTAGTTGTGAAGACAGGCCATGGAGATTTCATTCTCAGGTCTTGCATGAAATGAAAGTACGGTTTATTAAAATGGCAGATATATCCAAACGTTAAGAGATTTAGTAATCTTCGTTTGTTAGAAGACATGCGATGAGAAGTGTGTTCTGTCCGAGGGAAGAAGCCTTGTTTCGCACAACGTTTTTACTCAACAATAGATTAATGCATATACAGATAGCTGATAACAAAATAGCAGCTCGTGAAACCGCATGTCACTCAGGTTTGTCACCCTTAGGTCTGGTCATGCATAATTTTATGTGAACAATGTGAAAAGCCTGAATGGCTGATCCGCATCTATGACTGCGTTGCCGTAACTCATGAGCATGCTGCAACGGTGGTTCAAATCTCAGTGTTGGCAAGCATTATCACCGACTACAAATAATCACGGAAATAAGGACTGAAGGAAGTATAGAGCACTAAGCAAAATCGGATATTGTTATTTAGGTTAGTAGCTGCTTGTATGGTTACCATGCTGTTTCTTAGATCTGTTAACAAAATTCTAAATAAATCCGGTTAGACTCTCCAGTCAAGCTACTAAATAGCACGAATTTATGATGCTATGCCCAGGAATCGGTGACTCCGAGGGCTTTTTAGCATAGAGATAATAACTAAAAATGTTAACTAGAGAAAAAAAAGGAAGGTTTGTTTTGAAATTAAGTCGGATGTCCATGGTAGCTAAGAGGAAGTATGCAAATAACAAATGCAATCTATAACAAAATGTTTGCCTGTTTGTGCAATGCTACTCGTATTATTATTGTTGTCGCCGCCTTTGTCTAGAATACCATTGCAAGATGAAGTGATTTTGACGAGCGCCCTGTGGTTCAAACAAAACGCGCAGAAGCTATGAAAAGCTATTTATATTAATTAACTTTTTTTTAAATAGTATTTTGATTGGTAATGTTTATGGTATGCACCAAATTGTTTTGAAATAGGTACCTCAACGTGAGTACGCCTGTGAGATTATTGATTTTGGACGTTCGACATTTGACGGCAGCTTTTTGAAGGTAGGTACAATTTGGACCATTGGTATTCGCTGAGTCCGGAGTGTCTGCTTTTGAGACGTCCTTAGCGCAATCAATCAAATACAGTATGGTAAATCGTCAGTGGAAAAAAGATTTGTCCTGATAAACGTAATGTTTAGGTTTTTATTTTTCAACTATGTGCATTTTTGGCGTAGGCCCGTACCTGTGTCAGATTAAGCGTATACTTAGTTTCTTACAAGTGACCAACACAGTTGGTCTACGCTTAAAGTACATCATTATAGAGAACCTTCTCTACGTAACGGAATAGTTCGCATACTAACTCTTCTTGTGATGTCTTATTGGCTTTCATGTAAACAGTTTCTCTGGAGTGAATAAGAATTATTTTTCGCTGAATTTTAACATATATCTGACAGAAAGTTGATATTTTATCTGCACATTGACACCGTGAAGTAATAGTTTACGCACTTGTATATACTAATCATATTTAGCTTTTATCGGATCCATTACTTACTAAACAGATCAATTTTTTAGTAGATAAGCTTAAGTCGAAACGTAGAAATCTCATATTATCACGGAATAGCGCGAAGAGGTGCAAGTCAGTTTGCGCATGTTGCATACGACTTGTAAATCGGTACCTCTGCTGAAATAGGGTCTAGTTTTTTTAAGCAGCCTGAACAGAACAATTTAAATAGCTACAAAAATTGCGTGAAAAGAAGTCATAAATCG